CGAAGGGGATATCTCCAGTATTTTCCGAATTTAGTATTTTCCCATAGGCTTAACATTACGACGTAATGACCTCTAACTGACCTCAGGTCAGTGACCTCAAAAAATCCGAACTATATGTTATACAACTCGGTGAACTTAGCACATCCTGAAAGTTTGAAGGAAATCAGTGCAAAACTGTGAGTTGGACAGGTGCAAAAAGAAAATTGAAATTTGACCATGACCTTGTACCGGTTTTTCTGACCTGGTGACCTGACCCAAGGTCACCCGGACCTGAAATTTTCAGGTCATATGTAAAAAGGTTGCCCCATAGGCTGTGCCAAATTTGGCGGCGCTGCACGCCGCCGTTTTTACGCTATCTTCGAAAAACCTTAGGGGGGGGTCGCATCGACCCCCCCCCCCTGCCAGGGCGAGGGTTAAGACGTTTCCTGAAAACTTGAGCGAAATCTGTTGGAAAATTTTGAGGAAATGACGTTTAAGTGACGTCATGTCCGCCATTTTCGCCTAAAAAACGGAAAAATTTCAAACGTCGCTAACATATTCATTTTTAAAGGAATTAAGACGCAATAAAAAGCTTAAGCATGATTTTACTTTGTCTATCAAATAGCTATCACGTTTTTTGAAAATCCTGGATTTTGGCCCATTTTTTTTTCAAAAAACTGACTTTTTTGGAAAAATAATTATAAAATCAAAAATTTTGAGTGTATCGAAAAACCGGAATACATGTCAGAGAAGTGGTCTATGTGCACCTTCATACCAATTTTTAGACGAACCGGTTGAAAAATGTGGGAGTTATTCAAAATGTTATGACGTCACGAGTACGACACACAAAATTTTTGAAAAAAAAAATGAATTTTTGGAAGTTCTAGACCTCGTAGGAAACAAAATAGCACCATTCGATTCACCGTGAAAAACTGCATCAGATAAACACCTTTTTAGGCCTTAACAACCAACTTCAAAGTTGACCTCACTTGACCTGACCTTGACCTGACCTCGACCTGAAATTCATCCAGATGTGGTACATATCGCTTATTGAGTGTGTCTATTGAATTCTATGAATAAAATGACCCATAAAACATGTGTCGCACATGCCCTTTTCTATATTTCGTTTTTGGTGACCTGACCTGACCTTGACCTTGACCTTTGCATGACATTGTATGCAACGAATATTGTCTTGGTAGCCTTTTTGGTAGCCTAAGAACACGTTTTGGGCAATCAGTCTCAGTCCATTCTTCGGCAACTACGGTGCAAGGCCGATACTGTAGAAACTTGCATTTTGTACCCTTGACCTGACCTTGACCTGACCTCTAACCTACTTAAGCAAAAAAATGGCTCTTTAGATCCGCCTTGTTGAGAGCTTTCGATGGCCGTTTTCCCTGTCTTTCTACGACCATCGGTTCGGAAGTTAGACAGGGGGCAGAATCTGCCCCCTCCCCCCCCCCCAGCAGGGCACGTATGGCTGAAAAGCCCAGCGGGGCGCGGGCTAATATAGGTATAGCATGGATGAGATAATGAGATAGTGTTATCTCATCCATGGGTATAGTATATTTCGCTCAATCTGACTAGCAATAGGTCATAGTGCGACTATTTTAAGCGTACTATAACATTGTCGAAAGTCTCTTGAATAAATATACCAGTAAAACGCCTTTTGGGCGAAGAACGAGCGAGCGAGATAGTGAGCCCTGCACGTGCAGAAGGGCGAGAGGGTACTTCCAACGGGCTTGTGCAAAGCACCCTTTTAACCGGTCGCTAGCGGTGTACCAAATTTGAACGCAATCGGCCCAGCCGTTCCTGAGATCTGGAAGCGGCACTCTGCACGTGCGCACGTGCAAACGGGGTCCAAAATGACTCTTGCACGGCACCCTACTAACCGGTCCCCAACCGTGTACCAAATTTGAGCGCAATCGGCCCAGCCGTTCTCGAGATCTGGAAACGCCCCCTGCACGTGCGCACGTGCAGTAGCACCCTAACCGCAACACATGGGAATGCATTGCCTGGTGGGTGCCTACCTGTATGCCAAGTTTCAGCGAAATCGCCCCAGTAATTACCGAGTTACTGAAATGGGAACAAATTTGGCACCTCTTATTGTTGTATTTTGCACGTGCAGTGGGGGTCACTCACATAGATGAAGAGTATCCGACCTTTGGTAGAAGGGATGCAGCTACCCTATAAAAATGACCGCAAGACAATCACTCAAGCCGCTGCTGAGATATGGGCCTCTCAAAATCATTACTTTTGCAAAACTGCTTGAACACCCTTGACTTTTCACGTGGCACGTGCCACGGCGGTCACTGAGATGTATCAAAAGTAGTCAATTACGGGGTAGAAGGGATGGGGCTACCCAGCAAAAAAGACCGCAGGCCATTCGGTCCAGCGGTTGCTGAGATATAAGCCTCTCAAAAGCGTTACAGGCCGGGCCGGGCCGGGCCGGGCCGGGCCGGGCCGGGCCGGGCCGGGCCGCTCATACTGAGATTTTTCCGTTATATTGAAAAGACTTCGCTTCGCTCGCTGCGCTCGCTCGCTCGTAATCACCTTCCATCTCCAGCCTATATTTTTTTTTAAGATCGATGACGATTTAGATTTTTTTTGCGTTTTAGTGAAAACTGAAAAGTGCATGTGGAAACCATGTTGGATATAGCCTAGCTTGCTCCACTTCAAATGGCCATCGTAATGTTTGCATTGCTATAATAGTTATTGTTTCTGTTCGTCTCATGCACTATTTTCATTTGAACTTGAAGTGATCCACCATTCCTATTAGTTAATAAAAACAACAACAACAACAAGGAAACAACAGATTCAATGTAGTTTTGCATGCATTCTGATATTTATGGTTACATTGCTACTATATCATGACGAACTTTTCGAAGCATTATTTCACGAAACATTCGAACACTTTTGATGTTCACTCGTTTGATTTAGTTATCACGAATAATTCAACAACAGCATTAATAATAAAATTACAATTACCGTGCAACCAACAACTTAACGTGTTCCATAATAATAAAATTACAATGACCGTGCAACCAACAGCTTAACGTGTTCCAATCTATCGTCATTAAAATAAAGTAACCGAAGGTTTGTTGTCAATAGTTAAAACACTATTCTTTAGAATTGTGTTTTTCTATTGAAAAACAAATCTGAGTTCCCTGACAATTTGGCAAAAGCTGCCTGAGATCAGTACAACTTGATGCTCTTGAAAACGGCTGGTCCAAATATTCTGATTTTTTCAGGATTTCTAGTGGGCCAGGTGATCTACGTTCTGGTATGGGTCTCCCCTCCGCGGACCATCTGGTGCACGTGCCACGTGACTTTAAAAATTCCCGTGTTAAAGGAAATAGTTCACTTTCCTGAAATTAGTATTTTGCTATTGATTTATGATTTTTTATGCTCAAAATGATCATGAAAGAAAGTAAAACCTTTTCGTAAAAACAATTATTTTCTATATTTTAATATAGGACGAACTATATTCTATGTAAAATAATGTTTGAGGCGGAAGCTTATTACGCGTTGACCAATCATATCGCGTAATTCAAACCTACGCATACTGCATTGGCTGTAAGCAGCATGCTGATTGGCTGACGATGACGTGGCTGCATTCCTGTGCAAGGCACGCATTCCTCTGCAAGGCACTCTTTTCGGAACGAGAAATGGAATATCTTCGTCTAGGGTGATCGTTGAGCCGTAAAAGCTCCTGATTTGTGCTAGTCTCAGCTCAAGCTACGAAACTGCTATTCCAGTTCAAAACCCCATGTTAAAAGTGAACTATTTCCTTTAAGCCAATGGGGAAAATGAAAAAATGCGTTCCACGGCAGATTGCTCGAAAACGATCCAAACGACCCCCCATTTTCTTACATGCAGATCAACCACCATTCGGTGCACTACCCATGGGTATGTCGCAAAGTGGCCGGAAAAGTCCAGAACCACGTGCCACGTGCCGTTGAAAATGACCCTGCACACCGGAAATTGGGACTTTTGGTCATTTCGGCGCACCCATGATGCATACCTACTATGGCGTGGGTGACCAAACAATGGGTGTCATCCGGTCGGCAACTGTTTAAGGTGTCGTCCAGTGGGCCAAAGTGGTAGTTTCAAACTTTTGGGATCCACCACTCTGGGGATTCTTTTTGACAATATACTTACGTTTCTTGGCGCAATGTTCATTCCACCCAGCCGGTCGTCAATGCGTTAGATGACCCAAATGACGATTGACCTGAAGGAAGTTGGGGGCGAGGAACACGCACGTGCCATCCGTTTTTTACTCGGGCGCTTTCATCTAGGAGATTTTTGCAGATACGTCAATGCGTTAGATGACCCAAATGACGATTGACCTGAAGGAAGTTGGGGGCGAGGAACACGCACGTGCCATCCGTTTTTTAATCGGGCGCTTTCATCTAGGAGATTTTTGCAGATATCTTTTTGATTTGTGAAAATGACCAGCCTAGCGGTATGCCAGCCGCTGATAAATTATTATCTTGCTGCGGCCGGGCGCTTATTTGCGGTGTTTGCGTTTGGCGGCTGGCGGGCGACTTTTAGTCGTTTTCGGTTAGCAGTTAGCGTCGGTGCGGTGCGGGCGGTTTTATTTTTTTCGGCGTTTCGGCGTTTTTTTCTGTGTGGTTTGCGGCAGTCGGGTGATTTTTTGCCGTTTGCGTTGGCTTTTCGGGCGTGCGTTTTACACGTTTTGCGGTGTTTACGTTTTGCGGCGGGCGGGCGTTTTGTGTTTTTTGCGGTGTTTGTCTTTGGCGGCGGGCGGGCGGGCGGGCGGGCGATGCGGGCGGTTTTCTTCTTTTTTTTGCGTCGTTTGCGGTGTTAAATTTGTTTGCGGTTGGCGGGCGGTTTTATTGTTTTGCGGCGTTTTTGCGTTTTTTATTTGCGGTTTGCGGCGGGCGGGCGTTTGTTTATTTTTTGCGACGTTTGCGTTGGCGTTTCGGGCGTGCGTTTTGCGCGTTTTGCGGTGTTTGCGTTTTCCGGCGGGCGGGCGTTTTTCACAATTCAAAGTCCAAACCTTCGGGCCACAGCGCTCCTCGAAAAGCGCTGCCCTCGAGTAGCAACTGCTATATATCAAGAAGCGAAAACAAACTTTCGTTGATGATAACATCACTGCAACAGTGACCAGTGTATAAGCAAGGAAATATTTAATAAAAGCAAATTCAATCAATCGTCGCACAGCCGCCAGTCGCAGCTTGAGCTGAGCCGTCACACAAGCCACGTGCGTGACGTGGTGGTCGGCGTGACGCGACCCGTCACAGAGCGCGTCACGTCACTGTGACGCCTGTCTCTGTTACGACCGGCGCTGGCCCCACGTGGTCATCTGACAGCGGCCCGGGTCAGCAGTTTTCAGCCGACTTTCCATTGACGTGGCACTTCTGGGCCGCGGGTAGAAGGCACATGACACGTGGATGACCTCACGTGACCTCAGGTGACCTGTGCAGGTGGAACAGGCACTTTCTCTCGGCGCTCCCCGGGCGTGGCGAGTTAAACTGGCTCGCCAGACATCTGAAATGACGGCGGATAATTTGGTCATCTGGCTATAACATCAGCCAGTGCAGGGCCGATCGGCCACACCTAACTCGGGTCAGCATAACAAAGAAATGATACGTATTTGCTTGGAAGACCCCTGTAAGGCCGAATAAACTAGATTGTTGAACATATTACCACTCTACATTGATTGTTGTTATTATATTGTTGTTAGCTGTTTGTTGTTAACTATATACTATTTGTTTTGAACCACGTGACAAGCCGTAAGTAGTCAGGTGTAAATTACTCACATAGTTATATAATTTATCCGCCAGCTTTGCCTCCAGATCTTTCGCAACTCGTGATGCCTACCTATTGGACGCCCCCTCTCGTCATACACCACCCAGCTGCGCCATACAGCTGCGCCATGCGTCAGATTACGAGCCCACTGGGGCCCACGCACACATCGGTGCCTACACTTCCCATCCCCAAACACACACGCAGTCCACACACACCTACGGCTCATAGTCCGGCGTCGCCAGAGATCGCCACGTGTCACTCCGGCTCTGGGCGGGGGCGGCCGGCGGCGGCGGCGTGTCTCACGGCCGGCTGGAGGCACTCAGACGTCCCCCGGGGCCGACATGCGTCACCGCTTCCCACCGGAGCCAGGTGCCAGTGGAACGGTGTGTGTGTGCACCGTTAGGAGAGGTACCGGTTTTCCGGGCGTCAAATGCCGCAGCTCTGCCGGCCCCATTGGGTGAAAATGCTGCGGCCATGGATGAAGTATTCCTGCGGCTCTGTCCACAGCATCGTTCCAACGTGGCTGGTCTGACCTTCGAAGAACGGTTCTAGGTGAACCCGGCTGGTGACCTATAACACACCGGACAGAGCGGATTAGAAAGGGAAACTGATAATTTGATCGGAAACAGAACCTCGTCTCGACCAGAGCGGGTGAGAAGGTTTTAGGTACATCAAACTTGTTTACGGCGGAGTCTAATGAACGGTACCGGGGGACCAACTCATGGAATAAGGGACATCGGAACACCGCGGGGCTGTATAGGGAATTAAGCATCTTTCAGGTTGAAAGGATGAAAGTCAAAATAGTTAATACCTACATATATTGCAAACGCTTGGGATTTCTTTGACTTGCGATAACCCTTAGAATTTTTAAAGTTTGACAGCAGATTCTGATCGTGGAGGCAACAATAGGTAGGTAAATAAAGTAGGTACGTAGGCATAAACAGGAAGTTACATGAAGCGATAAATTTATTTTCATTCAAGTAGTAGGTAACCCAGTTAGTCTGACATACCTATCTCCCAATTGACTGATTTCTGATGAACCGGCAGAAAGAAAAATATGAGGTCAGTCAGCACAGCCGGTTGCACGGTGACGTCACTGACTGGTGACGTCACAGCTCGGTGGCCGGCGGCGGAACGGCATTGACCCGCCGCTGGCTGACCCGCTCGGAAGCCGTGGAAGCGCCGCAGTGATCCAGTTAGCTGACCGGTCCTTACCCGGTAGTAGGGGAAAGGGAGGGGTGCAGTGCGGGCCTCGCGGGGTGGTAAGATGTGACCAGGGCTAGGTGGGAAAGGCGTGGGCGTAAGACAGATCGAAGTGCTAGTTACTACAGCAAACGTGCTCAAAGACCAAAGTTTTATTACAGAACGGAGGGAGTGCTAAGGTCGGATAGCGTGCATTCATAAAAAACACCAATGCAACTTAACGAAAAGAAATCAAGGCAATAATACCGTTTAACTCGGCTGACTGAAGGTTATTTTCAGTCTGGTTTTGAAAAAGGGACCCTTTCAACTTACCGTACGAACTGCATACCTATGCATAACGGTTAACCCAGCCAAAGGATCTCGAGAGAGATCATGGAAGGGGCTGTCGTGGCTTATAAATAACGTTTGCCATAAATAACATTAGAACACTGAACATGTTCTCAATTTACCATACGAACCAACGGCCAAAGAGCATTCGGAGGTCCTGAGAGACCATCTGAATCTGACCCTCTGATAGCTCAGTAGGTAGGAAAGTGCCTATAGCAAGAAGGCAATATTTTCTACGGCATAAAAATCATTCGCAAATGATGACGGCATATAAGGTGTCGTTCTAAATGGCTGTTCAGTGACTATGTATGTACATTGTACAGAATATGACAGAAAAATCAAATCGGCACACAGAAACCGAGAAAATCATGCTGAAGGACTATGGAAAGTATGTTGAAAGTATTACCTTTGGCCGGTCCGAGCAAGCCAGCGATTGACAGAAACAAGAGAAAAGAGCGAAAGACAGAGACAAGAAGATGATAACGATACGAAACAAGTAGGTACCTACACAGATGTCGATGAACTAAACAGCGAGTATAATCACACAGTACAGGCGATACAACAAATAGTTAATTATCATCCACATTTTCACTGTAGGATATAGGTTACACCATGGGTAAATGTAAGTAACAGCAACTCGCAGACTATTTAAATGACCTCAGGATGAGACGATCTGTCTCTCCTTATTCAGCACTGCAAGAATGGTCAAAAAGCATAAGCAATCAGCACTCAGCAGGCCTCGGATATGCAAGGTATACGGACTGGCTACCGACTACAAGAATAAAGACTATGCATACAGGAACCATATCTCGATGATAAGCAGCGCAGCATGCATTTATACCTTTTGACATATCCAAGCAAAGCTAACTGGTGCGGTTGGGTGAAACGTATGTAGTAGCATACTGCAGGAACCAGGAACATTAAAAGATAATGGCATACTTTTTGTATGAATCGCCCTTTTTGAACAAGAGAAAGCGGGTAACTAAATCACTTTTGTTGTTTTCGTTACGAAGCCTTTTGCAGTTGTATTATTAGGCGTAATTACGTATGCCTAGAGGGAAGTGAACTTGAGTGAATAATATGCATGGTTCACTTCGTATGAATATACAATTGGTACTTGTCAAGTTAATTAACTTTAACTTTAACAATTAAATTAACTTTAATTTAACTTTAACTCTAACTTTAACTTAACTTTAACTCTAACTTTAACTTTAAATTAATCTAACTTTAAATTATATTAAAGTTAGATTAACTTTTTATCAACTTATTGAAGTTAATTAACTTTAATTGAATTAACTTAAAAGTTAATTAACTTTTAATTAACTTTAATTATTTAACTTTTAATTAGATAGATTTAAAAACCTATCTAACTTTAAATTAAACTTTAAAATTAACTTTAACTTTAAATATATAAGAACAGGCAAAAGGAGGATAAATAAGTACAACGATAATATCTAAATCACGGCGATTTCACTTATATCAGGTAGGTACCCTATTTCATACAAATGCCACCAATGTCCAACAGTGCATACCTACTCAAGAACCAATAAAAAAGCAAAGCAACATAAATAACAATGAAGAACTACAATGAAGCTTTTGCAAATGCATCCACAACACAAACATCGACTGGAACGTTTCAATGAGGTCATCAACGATTTTCAACAGCTTATTGCATGCCGGAAGAGCCGTAACTGGTGACTAGACCTCGATATCACAGCGCTGGGTGCATTTACTAACTAGCATCATGCAGCCCAGCTGAGGTAAGAAGGTGCCGGATAGGTGCAGGACGGTGTCCGGCGAACATGCTGCCCTCCTTCAGGGTCCTCTAGTCCTGCGCCACCCTGGCGATGCACAGCTGCAGGTCGTGGAAGTCCCAGTAGGAAGTGAAGTGGAAGGCCATGTTGGAGAGCACCATGCACGTCTCGAAGATGGCGAACAGCGAGTACACGCCCGGCTCGCAGTAGGTGTTGTGCCGCACAAACAGGTACATGGCCACTACCAGGCTGAACACGTTCAGGGTGAGGAGGCGCTGCTTCCAGCGCAGCGAGGTCTGCTCGTGCGGCGGGGGTGGCGCGGCGCGGCACCGCGACAACAGCGCCGTCACTAGCACCATGTACGCCTCGGAGGCGGCCACGAACACGATGAACGACACCTTGTGCAGTGTGTAGTGTTCCATCGAGCCGACAAACGACACCCCAGAGAGGCCGGCCTGCTCGAGGGCGTACAGCAGCAGGCAGGCGGCCGTCAGGCGGCGGCAGCGCGGCGACTGGCGCAGCACGCGCGCCAGGTGCGCGTGCGTCAGATAACCGAGCAGCACGCGCGGCGCCAGGTGCAGCGCCAGCAGCGCGCGCCAGATGAACTTTTGCGGCGAGAACTTGCCGGCAGCAGACGAGATGGAGGGGAAGAAGTTGAAGACCAGACAGTGCGTCCGGTTGGCGAGGTCGAAGTGCATGTAGAGCGACAGGGCGTAGCAGAGGGTGAGCGCCAGCAGCGGCAGCAGCACGGTGACGGCGGCCAGGTGACGCACCAGCACCACCCGGGCTGCCCCGCCGGCGACCCGGCCCGCCGGCTGGCCCTGCCGCCAGAGGCCAGACCCGACCCGACCTCAGACCGGCGCACATCAACAACAGAACGCATTGGCATTGGTACCTTCTTGGAAGCTTAGGCTCAAAGTAGAGTCCGACGTGGTGAATGGTGATTGATACTTTTTTCAAAAGTGCCAGGTGCCTAACGATTGATGTTTCTTAAAAGATATTTGACATATTCCAATGCCTTTTTTGGTAGTTAGAGTTAGGGAATCCTCCAAAATTGGTACCTACATATCCAAAATAATGCCAGTGTCATTTACGCATTTCTTAAACAGCAAACGTCGAGGAAGTGTAATGCTTATAAACGATCGTTTGAAAACGCACGCTTTTTAGCATCGACTGTCTATGACCCGGACCCCAAAGCTACCCCTCCTTTTTTGCAGATTATAAGAGAGGATTCAGGAACAAATCCGCTACGAATCGCCGCATTGATTTTGCCTAGACTATTCTCGTAGTAGAGAAAATCGGGAACAATCCTTTGGCATGTAACTGTCTCGTGATGCCTTCTAATTGGCCGTTGATAGGGTAGTGTGGGGTAATTTGAACATATTTTTACGTCTTCTCCGTTGTACCAAATTCCAGCTCAACCCTGGATGAAGAAAAACTGTTTCAGTAGCGCATGTGTCACTTGCTTTCACCATGCAAGCCTCATTTTTGGACGAGCCGAGCATACCTTGAATAGCATAGCATCACTTCTCCACCAAGTCACGGTGTGTTCAAATTGCCCCACCGTGGGGTAATTTGAACATACTGTCTTTACCTGCCATTAAAAAGATAGTCTCGCCAGCACCGATGTTGTTTGACCCATAAACAAATAGGCAGAGCAATTCTAAAAATACCATCATTTGAAAAATCAACACAACAACAAAAATAAGAATTGCAGAGTATCAATATCTGCACGCTGCACACTGGTCAGTTGACAGAATTCGCCTCTCTTCAATTAACAGAGCGTCTATCATCTCCATTCGATAAAAACTCTACCAAACCTTACTTCATCTGTTATAGTGGTGCCAATCGGAACCTGGACATTCGGAGTTCCGATTCTTTATAATGTCCAATTCAGAATTGATTGCACAAAGGTATAGAAGTCTGGACAACGTTGGACGATGGCCTGCCACACTTAAGCATTTTTATCAAGTAATTGTGCGTAGCATTGATTGGCGAATGGAAAGCTTGTTAAGCTCTCAATATAATGAACACTTTTCGGCTGGTAAAATTACATGATAAGCAATATAAATGACGGTTTTGAGTGTTGATAGCTGCATAATTTTCGGACATATTTGGACAAATAGTTGACTTTAACATTTTTGGACGGAAAATCAACGAAAATGCCAGACATTAGACGGATATTAGACGTAAATTTTCTAAAACTGGCATCACTTATCTGCTACTGCTTTGGGTCAAAAATATTGGCAAAAAAAAAAACTGGGAGCGTTGCTTTTTCGGAGCTATCCCTGTCTTCATTGAAATTCTCACACTATGTTCAAATTACCCCACGCTAAAAGTTATTTTGCAATTTTTAAAAACAGGGTTCAAAAGCAAATTTCTTGGATTGAAGGCACTGTTAAGGTCATTGTACAACAAAAGCCGTTGCGTATTAGGCGCTAGCAATGCAAGATTTTGCGCTGCAATGAAGTTGCAATGACGTGTTGTTAGGCGTTTATCCTTGCAAAATTGATTTTTTACACTGTGCGTCAACATCTTCATTCCCTGAAACTTTAAACCCCGTTCATATGATAGCCCTTTTAGTTACGATAATTTCTCTCATTGGTCTTATTGTCATGCCACTTATGGATTTTCCGTAATTTTGTGTTATTCACACTATGTTCAAATTGCCCCACATGTTCAAATTACCCCACCCTACCCTATTAAACGGTCAGTCAATCCTCTCCTAGTCCTCTGGACTGGTGGCGCAAAATTGGACAGAAGCCTCAGGCGTGACGTCTCACAATACATATAACGTTTACCTTCTACAGACGGCGGCAGGTTTTAGGTGCCCGTCAGAACTCATACTCAAATAGGGAGCACCGCCGCCGCTCGAAACGGGCTCTCGTAACCGGTCGGTTCAAATTGCGGGAAACGGATACTTAGGTAGGTAACTTCTTTTTTTCTAAAAGCGCTTAACTTTGCATTATATTCCATAGAAGGCGGAAGGGGGGGGGGGCACCGGGGCACCGTGCCCCCTTAATTTTGAGGTTTTTACATTAGCCCTATGGGCGTCGCATGGAAAGAATGGGAGGTGTTCCACCGCTACTGTTATATTCGTTTATATGACAAATACGTTAAATTAACTTTTGAGTTTTGTGTGCATAAGACGGAAATGAGTAAGTTCACTCATGTTATGCCCAGATTACGTCGTACAGATTGTCGCTGTCGGCTGTGGACTGCAGCCGAGGGCTTTTTGCACCACGAGCTGGGGGGGTGGGAGAGAGAGAGAGAGAGAGAGAGAGAGAGAGAGAGAGAGAGAGAGAGAGAGAGAGAGAGAGGCAGAGAGAGAGAGAGAGAGGCAGAGAGAGAGAGAGAGAGAGAGAGAGAGAGAGAGAGAGAGGGAGAGAGAGAGAGAGAGAGAGAGAGAGAGAGAGAGAGAGAGAGAGAGAGAGAGAGAGAGACAGAGAGAGAGACAGAGAGAGAGAGAGAGAGAGAGAGAGAGAGAGAGAGAGAGAGAGAGAGAGAGAGAGAGAGAGAGAGAGAGAGAGAGAGAGAGAGAGAGAGAGAGAGAGAGAGAGAGAGAGAGAGAGAGAGAGAGAGACCTAAAGTGTTAACTCCTCCAACAAATTACAATAAACTCACGTTTTGTTCCGGCTTCATCCGCAACTAGCGGGGAGACCCGGCGGGACCGTGACTCGGCGCCGCATTGCTGCAGAAATTTCCGCTCCCGGACCGAGGCGACGACAGCCCTATAAATCGATAAAGAGGTCAGTACGAAGCCACAATCCTACTAAATTGAAAGAAGTGCTAAATTTACCACTGAAAACTTTAAAAAAAAAGTTTAAAAAAAAATTTCAATGTTCTTCTTTACAAATTAGGCCAAATTGAAAGGACATCAAATTGCTTGCATGATGTAATAAATGCCGTGAAATAAAAATGAAAGGGACTAACAATGACATTGGTTTCTAGCAGGAAGAATCTAGTGGCTTAATTTGGTAACAACATCTTGTACTGCTACAAGGACGGCGCGTAAGTTACAAAACAAAACTGAAGCATATACAAATATACGATGAAGCATAAATAGAATAAATTGAGATAGGATAGGCAAGGAAAGGGCTTTGATGAATAATTAAATTTGATTGAATTCTCCTCTCATTAGTACCTATTCATATTCAGTTCCATCCTTCTCGGTCATATTGCTGGTATTCTGATGGAATGTTAAATGTGAATTTGAATTGTGATTGAACTTAGGTGTATCAATATAGGTACCTACAAAGAATTGAAATTGTGAAATATGCTCAATCTATAAGTGAATCGTTTCACGTATAATGTGAGCAAAATCAGGTTTGATAATGCCTTAGTCCAGAAGAGCTCTTACAAAATCTGCAAAAGTACTAGACAGATAGTAGGGTAAGGTGCCTAATTAGCGACCCTTTCCGATTTGCGACCTACCTCCCTACAGAAAAACTGGGAGGAGAAAACGGGGTAAAAATATCGTTAAAAGGTCAGCCATACTTTGGTTATCAAATTTAATTATTTTCCGGTCGTCGATGTTTCTGGTGGGACGTTACAAGCGAGTTTAAATAAAAATGACTAGTTTCTTATCCAAAACGTGTGTGTTTGGGCCCTCTCTGATGATAAGCGATGCACATTTGGATGATGCACCTTTTTTATTCTGAATCGACATTCCTTTTTCAATTGATGCCGTTTTCCCATAGTGAATCGCCTCAACTGTGCACAGCATGGCGGTTAAAAATGTGTCGCAACTCATATTTCCTATTTGCGCCTGACATGGTCGCAAATAGCTCAAGAAGGGAAAGAAAGGGGAAAAGAGAGAAATGAAAATGAGGTGTTGCTGAAGCTTGCAATGTGTGGCAGGGGATGCCAAATGTCGTCACCGACTGCAGGGGTGCCGAATTCAGCGCGGACCTCGAATATCATACGAGATAGCCCGCAAAATTTGGGTTTCCGCCTTCTTTTCGCCTTCGGTGCATCACGTGAACAGTTTTTACTTACGTAAATGTGTTGGATAAACGTTCCTGTTCGAGTGATTGAGTGCTTTGCGTATAGGTTACCTTTTTGTGATCATATTTCATCTTTTCAGGCGTCGCATGTTTTGCCATTTTTAATATGGGGAAACCCATAGACTTATTAGCGACCCTCCCCGGTCGCTAATCGGGAAGAGTTCCCTATTAGCGTTTTTTGCAATGGTTTGCCAAAATGCTCACTACAAATACGCTAGTGAATATTGGGGCAGAAAATGACTATATTTTAATAGAAAAATGAGCGACCTATGCGAAAATCAAGCCAGTAATACAGTGGCACCCACAGAGCGTGAGCAATGACGGTTCAAATTAAGGGGGTCGCTAATTAGGCACCTTACCCTACTAGACAGATATGGCTTTATAATATGCATTATGCATATATAATCTATTTTTGCACTAGTAGAAATAGAGCTAGCGAGCATCATTGCTAAAACTGAACAAGCTATCAATGATGTTGTTTCCAATTCAGTCCAGACTCCAGTCAATCTCCCACAGCTGTTCTGTATTATATGGTTGCTCGCTTTTCTTCTTGGGATCTTACTTCACTCAGCATAGGACTGGTCAGCATGAAGCTCAAATGCTCTCCAATTCCATAGCTTAGTTGCAGATGTTGCAGAGGGATCAAAACTCAATAAATATATCAGTTTTCCAAATAAGTATGTATTTTTTCAGATACTGTGGTCTTGTACACTGTCTTGCAAGTTGCATGCACCACTTACTACAGTATCTGAGTGACAGTGATGCTCTATAAGACCACCTTAGCTTCTTTTAGTGAATTGCTGCACATGTTAACAGGTACCTATGTTTCCATAATGAATGTTTGACCTGACCCTTGACCCCTGGTCTCTTATTTCAGATAATAATTGAGGAATCATGTCCAGTTTTTCTCGCTTCACAGAGCTTGGTAGGAAAATTGTTGCAGTTGGAAGAAATTATAGGTGAGTTGGTTGTTATGATTTTGATAGCAGAATATGTCTATGATGCAAATTTTGATTACATACACCATTTTCCTATGCCTGCATCAAACCACCTACTCATTCATTAATCATTAGGTAGTCTTTCTTTAGTTGGAAATAATCAATATTCTACTTACAGCATGCAGTCATATTCTGCATGTAGGATATCATCTATATCAGGGCCGCTTCATTCAAATATGGATTTCCTATGTGATATATACTCGTACATATTTGTATACAGAGATTTTCTGTGGTAGATGTTTTCTGAGCTTCTAGAAAAGCATTTTTTTCACAACCAATATATCTTGTGTTTCCAAGTGCATCAGACATAAGCATGAAACAATCAAAGTTTTGTGCAGTCACTGTAGAGCTATGTTCCCTTAAAATATATTATTTTGATAAGTATTTGTTGATATTTGGTGTATTTTGTTAATGTTTTGAAAATCACTTATCAGAGTCATTTCCTTTGAGTTTAACATTTTCTTTTTGCCAAAGTGGGCTCTCAAAGTGTACTGTATGTTCCCAATTTTGTTATAATGCATTTGGTAAATACTTGATTTCCTCTCCATAATTATGCAACTACAAGTATGTAGGAATTTCAAAATATTGCATAGTAACAGAAAATGGTTATGCTAAATTTATTTATGCTAAGTTTCCATTGTTTTCAGGGAACATGCTGCTGAACTGGGCAACAAAATGCCAGACAAACCCATGCTCTTCTTAAAGCCAACCTCATCATATTTGACAGCAGGCAACATCAAGGCAAGTAAACCCTGATATTTATCGGGGTCGGATGAATGCCATCGGACTTTCCGAGATACCCGCGTACACCCCCGCGAAAAAAGGAACGGCGGATAGCGATGGAACTTTCAGTACCCTCGAGCAAACCAATTTTACACCTATCGTGCAAATTGCATGACCTTCACCACTGATGTTTCCAATGCTGAATTTTCCAAACACGAAGTGTATAACTGAAAGCGCCTGAGCGGCGAGCACATTAGCGTAAAGGTCGTGGCCAGAAACTGTTTTTGTTTCTTTTTTTTTTTTTGCTTATTTATCAAAAACTGGATACTAGTCATAGGAGGTCTTTAAACTGACTTCAGGCCATCATTTGAATATCTGAGATCTTGAAAGTGCCTACCAGTCGCTTTGTCACTGCATCATGTAAGGGCGTAGACGCTCGTTTTCTTCCTGCAAAACTCTAGCTCAATAAGGGCGCCTGAGCGAAACGGTGAAAAAGTTCCTTCAATTCCCCCATCGACTGGAGCGTACGAGTATGTGCAAATTCGATAGTTCCAGCGATGGCCAATCGTGAAAATTAAGCGGTTTCATTGGTCTGATTAGGTAATAGCTTTATGAAATGGATTTATTAGTTGGTTAATGGTTGGTTCTATTTCTGAAAGTTATTATCTTGTCCTTAGATTCCCTCATATTCGAAAAAAACGTTTGATTAAATTTTATTAACAAAATACGTGAGCAGACACCCTCCCCCCTTCTCGTGGAGCGTGAACGTATTGGAGCCCTAGTCAAGGCCGTATAAGAGAGGTACAGATAGCCCTAGAAAGGCAGCCCTGGTAAGGCAGCCCCAGTAAGGCAGCCCTAGTAAGGTAGTGGTGTAACGATCAACTGGCGAGTGCGTAGCAGCAGTGAATATGAGCTATTAGTCTCAATGCGTCCGTGTTCTTTTCAGATTCCCAAGGGATGTTCCGAGCTGCACCACGAGGTGGAACTGGGAGTTGTCATCTCGGAGAAGTGCAGCGCTGTACCAGAGGGCGCTGCCATGCAGCATGTGGCGGGCTATGCTCTTGCCCTGGACATGACCGCACGTGATTTCCAGGTAGGTACACCGGACTCCGGAGAGTGGGTCAGATTATATTGTGCGAGGCTGGAAGTGGAAAGGGTAGGGCAAATGCTCTGTGTGACCTGTTGGATAAGGTGTGCTTGTTTATACTGTTGGCAGGGCTGGGTTGGATGCTGGTAAAGAGTACGCTAACCTTCAATGTTACGGTTATTTTGCCTTCGTAGTTAAAACCGTAGAAGTTAAAATGCCTTATTTTCTTGTTCTTATTTTAAATACATTTATTAGCATGAGGCTTAGATTTTCCATGACATATCTGATCTGATCATGAGCCTCAAAGCCGCGCTTTCACTTATCAAGTTCTCGTAGAACTGGCCAACAGTGGAGGAACATGCTGCAAATACCTCCGGTAGGTGCTTGTTACTTTCGGTTTGAATAGGTTCTTTGAAGCATTTCATGATTAGATGCCTGCATTAACACATCGTAACAAAATCGTATTGCGATCCGTAAATACCGATATAGGCAAGGCAAAATCCTGTGATGTATATCAGTATTCCTGTGATGTAGCGACCTTTGAGGGCATATAATTTAGTGTCCCATAACGCCAAGTCTCGCTATCCCGTTTTCTTTCAGAACGAAGCGAAGGCGAAGGGCCATCCGTGGACGATGGCCAAGTGTTTCGACACGGCGTGTCCGGTGTCGGCGTTCGTGCCGCGTGACCGGATACCGGACACTTCCGGTGTGCGTCTGCACTGTTCGGTGAACGGCCAGACGCGGCAGGACGGCGCCACGGCCGATATGCACTTCAGCGTGCCCTTCCTCATCAGCTACATCAGCAGGTCGGTGACAGGAACGGCGGGACGGTGCTGGCGGGTCGGAGGCTCTGAGAGATAGTGTGTATTAACGGTTTATAGTCCTCTTGTAGAGTCCTCCTCTTGGTTTAGAGTCCTCGGTTTGTAGCCCGGTTGACCTATCTGATGATGCCTATCACATGCGTCTGTCCCCTCCCGCGGCAGGTATATCACGCTGGAGCCGGGAGACCTGGTGCTGACCGGCACTCCAGCCGGCGTCGGGCCCGTTCGGGCCGGTGACGTCATCGAGGCCACCATGGCCGACCAATCCGGGGGCCAGCTGACCAAAATCACCTTCGGTGTCGAGAAGAGTAGCCAATCGTAAAACCTGGGGTATGTAGCGCGGTTATGTAGTGGCTCGATCTTGATGCCCGTATATTCTGGTGATGTTGTTACATCCTGTAGGGGACTACTTGAATTGTTACACGGAAAAGTTTGGTAGTGTAAGAATGCTAGTAGAGTGATTTGTGGGAATTGGCCTATGCTAGTGATTGGGCGCAATACTTACGCATCCATTCACTTTGTTGTTACGCGGATGATGAAAAATGTCATATTTTGTGTACCTATGGAATGGTAACATTGGGGTCATCTTTCAGCTTCATGTGCAAGCAATACAATGCGGGAGTGCCAACTCAGTGTTAGATGGTTCGAGTCCGGAGAGCAACACGTTAGTCAACCCCGCATTTTCCTAAATCTCGTTGAGCCTATTGAGGAAATGTCGAGCTAAAGCCGCCATTAACCCGCGCGGGGCTGGGGGGGGGTAAATTTTACCCCCCCCTCGCGAATTTTTGCGATATCTCAAAAACGGCGGCGCGCAGCGCCGCCAAACTTTCAGTACCTTTTCTTACATCAATTTGACACCTTTCCTGAAAATTTGAGCGAAATCCGTCGGAAATTTTTGAGAAATTGACGTTTTAGTGACGTCATGTTCGTCATTTTCGCTTCAAAAACGGCAAAAGTTCAAACGCCGCACAGTGGGCCAGGCGCTTCAAAAAAGCGGAATTAAATCAATGAGCACAGCTGCGGTGCCAAAAATGATTCGTTACAGGGTAAAATATCATGCTAAGCTAAAGCCGAATCCGATATCCATTTTCAATTTGATTGGTTACGCTAGGTCACTGACCTATGACGTCATTATTTAATTTCTGCGCTGCACATATGCCTGGGACAGGCGGGCACTATGCCGCATTGGCCGCGCGTTTGCAGTCTTTTCGTGGTTTCAAGCGCTCAAACATGTGATATGATGTTGGTCCCATGCTTTAGGGTGGGTGTAAAGGTCACCTGAAGGTCAGGTCAGGTCAGGTCATTGACCTTCGATGACCTCGGTTCACTTTTTCGAGTTTTACATGTTTCTGGGCTAGTTTTTTGAGCTGAATTCGAATTTAGGAACCATTTGAACATTTACGAAGTAGTTTTGGTGCCTTCATAACATGTTACGAAGCTGTCAGAGGCGGGTTGACACCTACTACGAATACCCGGCAGGACCCATACTGGTTGACCTGACCTGAGCTGACCCGACCTGGCCTAAATGCATGAAGACATCATCTGTGATCAAAACTAACATGATATTCGTGATCAGCATCCCGAAAAACCCCTTAGCAGCCACACTATACGACGTTCTAACAGGTCCCGACTTTCGGCCATTGACCTGACCTCAGAGGTCACCATTTGACCTATGACCTTAAAACCGGGTACCGTTGGCTTCGTCTCGTGACGACCTACACGATGTTTTTTTCCGCGAGGCTCTAGCTCAATTAGGGGCCAAACGCGAGGAGGGTCGCATCCCCCTGTGCCGTCGAGGGATGCAAAACGGCCTATGCCGGCGAGGGTTAAACCCTTATTTGTCCATTTCGCGCAAAAATGCGCAAAATATTTGCATTGGGCAGCAAGCTATACACCTTGAGGAAAGTCAGGCAGCAAATATCTTCGTGTTGTTCGGTGACGTTTTCTTTATATCCTTATATAAATTCATTGCGTCGTTGCACTACCACGGTTCCGAACAGGCACTGTAAACCCCACCGCTACTAGTAAGCATGAAATAGTTCCCGGGAACTTGAGTACGAGAAACATGCGCAGAAATACCGGCTGTTTTTTTAAAGCTATTTTGTACGGAATAACTTTAATGATTTTACGCTGAGAGCTTTTGAATCGGGGGAACGGAAAATGGTACACAGCAGTCATTTCCATCTTCAGTCGGTAAGTCCTACTTTGCGACGTTATAGCATTATCTGCCTTGACATTGGGGAAAGGAAACTTGCTTATTCGGAAACTTTGGACATTTTTACAATACTCTATCCCATAATTACAGGAATTTCACCGAAGTTGATTTTCGACTTAATTCCGCTTTTTTTGATGCGCCTGGCCCACTGTGCGCCGCTAACATCTTCATTTTTAAAGGAATCAAGACGTAACAAAAAAGGTTATACGTAATTTTACTTTGTCTATCAAATGGCTATCTCGGTTTTTTGAAAATTTTGGATTTTAGCCTAAATTTTTTCAAAAAACTGACTTTTTTGGGAAAATCATTATAAAATCCAAAATTTTGAGTCTATCAAAAAAACCGGAATATATGTCAGAGAAGTGGTCTATGTGCACCTACATACCAAATTTTAGAAGAATCGGTTCAAAAATGTGGGAGTTATTCAAAAGTTTATGACGTCACGACACACAAAATTTTTGAAAAATGACTTTTTTGGAAGTTCTAGACCTCGTACGGAAACAAAAATAGCACCATTCGATTCGCCGTGAAAAACTGCATCAGAAAGACACCTTTTTAGGCCTTAACAACCAACTTCAAAATTTGACCTCACTTGACCTGACCTTGACCTGACCTCGACCTGAAATTCATCCAGAGGTGGTCCATATCACTTATTGAGTGTGCCTATTGAATTCTATGAGTAAAATGACCCATAAGACATGTGTCGGACATGCCCTTTTCTATATTTTGTTTTTGGTGACCTGACCTGACCTGACCTGACCTTGACCTTGACCTCTGAATGATATTGTATGCAACGAATATTGTCTTGGTAGCCTAAGAACACGTTTTGGGCGATCAGTCTCAGTCCATGACTCCATTCTTCGGCAACTACGGTGCAAGGCCGATACTGTAGAAACTTGCAATTTGTACCCTTGACCTGACCTTGACCTTGACCTCAAACTTTAAATTAAGTACATGTTTTTAGTAGTTCGTGATGAGAGCTTTCGATTGGCGTTTGAATTTTCCAAATCGGACCGTTAGTTCGGGAGATAACAGGGGGGGTAAAATTTACCCCCCCCCCCCCCCCCAGCCCCGCGCGTTCGGCTGGAGACCCCAGCCCCGCGCGGGTTAAAGTACACCTCACAGGGTTGACTGTTTGAGTGTCAGGGCCGGTTGTTCCATCGGGACACTTCTGTTGCTCCAGGACGGTCTAGTCCACTGTGATGTATCAGTCGGCCCCTTGCCAGATGGTGGCCCTCTCAGTGCAATGTTCCCCACACTCCTATGATCAACTATTTCTGCGACGGCCGTATTTTACCGGAAGAGTTTGCTTACGCTATGCGAAGCCATCACGAAGTAGATGGCCGACGAATTCTCAATGGAAATATACCAACTGTTTAAAAATTAGCTCGAGCTAGCGCCGACTTCTCAAATTAAGTGCTGAAATCGGGAAACTTTGATAGGCATTCGATGACCGGTGTTCGATGCACGCTAACCGAGTAATCTTTTCAAAAAATGATTGAAGTACAGTCCACAGCAGAAGTAATGTGGGGTTTCAGTCCAGGGTGGCCAAATTGGTGATGTTGCGGGGAAAGTCACCCCCAACCCAATGAAAAGTATAATGACATCCTCAGAAATTTTAAAATTACATCATCACGACGTTTTTGTCGTGAAAGCATACCTACCTAGTGTAGGAATAAATACTGAAAATGTTCCAATGTACGATTCCCACCGTCATACTCGTACTGTCGCGCTTGCAATGTCGTTTTTTACATCTTTAATGACAATTTTTGTTTTTTGTTTTTTTTCTTTTCACCAGAACTTGACGTCAGGTATAGTTTTTTCCACATTATCTGTAAAAACTGCACCTAAAATGAGGCTGAAGACGAGTTTTTTTTTAATAGTGACATCCCTCGTACGACTTTTTTATACATCCTCCCCCTAACGCTAAACCAATTTGGTCACACTGTTTCAGTCATGGGTATGTTCTGCTTCTGAAGCTTAGGAACGATTAGCCAGACTACAATGAAACTTTGAATGTAGCCACAGATAACAGTAGTTCTGTTAGTAGTACTGTAGTTAGTAGTAGTGTAGTTAGTAGTACTGTACTACTGTTATCTGTGATGTAGCTTATATGTATCGTCACCCTTGCAGCTGCAACTTTAGCTATTGACATCTTCTTTTCGATCACCCTGGGGACAGTATCATCGAAAAAAAAATCAATGTATGGAGCTGATTTTTTTTTTACTAGCATTTCTTGTTTTTCTGAATCAGAAAAACATAGTTTGAGGACCGAACTCGGTGAAAAATATTGCAACCACATTTCATTTTCATGATTCATTTTCATGAGCGAACCACCACTATACAAGCATGGCCGCCAGTTTGGAAGCATGCAAAATTACTACAGAACTGGCGCAGATAATACATTATTGACGCTACGCTTACGCGGTCGTTCTTCTGATTGAGTTGTCCTTACGGAGAGGTAGCCTTAGGTATTTGTAGCGTGTCGCACTCACTTGTATTTGCTTCCCGATCAAGATAACACTTCAGTACAGGTGCCGCACTCTCTGCGCTCGGCTCCGATCACACACTGCCCTGCGACCGGTCAGCGACCTCCGCCGGCAGGCAGATAGGCCCGCCCTCTACGATCGAACACCGAAAGTTGCAGTTCTTACTCTTAACACTAGTTGAACGCCTACATATTGCCTATAAAAATATCACGTGACAATTGGAGGGAGTGACAATTGGACGTGACAATTGACAATGGGAGAAAATATCACGTGACAATCACGTGATAAACGTCATACATTGGAGGGAGATTGTGATTCAAGCTGGAGGAATTCCTTTGTTGAGCCGCTAGAATCCGAAGGAAACAGCGGAAATTGCCTACGACTATTTAATGAATTTAACGGTGATGAATAAGTGCGAAAAACGTTTTGGCTTTATAAAATTTGATGAAATGACCAGGGTAAAAGTTTTATTACTGGCGGTCAATTCAAAACGGCGCAAACATTTAAAAAGTGAAGATAGTGAAGCACGATTCAGCACGATTCAAAGTGTGGTACACCTTTCGTACTTTGAGCGGCGATAGCGGGATAACGGTGTGGAGCTTCGAGGATCGGTCTTCAGTTCCCGGACCAGAAAGGTGGGGCCTATGCAATGTCAAATTTCATCAAAATGGTGATACTGTCCCTTTAAACAATCGCCAGTCAAAGCCAACCGTTGAGATTGGTAAAACCAGCTGCCGGACATTGGTCACGTGACCACATTTTCCGTTTGACCTTGAGTTGGCACCAGATTTTGTCGACAGACGTGGCGCAGCTTATTTTACTGCATTATTTTGGATACTAAATATTTAGCCGTGTGGTGGTAAATGATACCGTGCAAATAATATTGAATCATCGGTGACATAGTTACCACTGAAACTTGAATAGGTATCATCAATAAAATACAATTAATCTATTATTACTCTTCCATTGATTTTATTGTGCTTGCAGGCATAGGTAGAAACTGAAGAGCTGAGCCTGCAGCTTACAGTTGTTCTATACAGTAGCGGCGGAACACCTTCAATTAAGGGGGGGGCACTGCCGACTTTCGGTCCGATTCTTTCCATGCAACGCCCATAGGGCTAATGTTAAAATGTCAAAATTAAAGGGGGCACGGTGCCCCGGTGCCCTCCCCGTTCCGCCGCATATGGTTCTATAACTCTTAATGCATAAATCAAGGCTACTGAGGGCGCAAATTTGTTTCATTTATCTTTAATAACTTATGCCCTACCTTCATCTACTATTATCTGTAAGAATCTTGCTTCAATCATCACCAGACTTCTTAGTTTTTTTACTACGCCCCGGCCGCGAGAGCGAGCGGGTACGACTCCCTCGCCCTAATTGAGCTAGCCTCGCGGGAAAAACAAGCATGTGTGCCGTTACGGGACCGGGGACGCAGCGATTGATGCACGGTTCAAAAGTCTCAGGTCAACTGGTGGCCTCTGAGGGTCAGGTCAAGTGCCCCGAGGGCCAAAATACGATTTCGGGTTTTGAGAAATAACTTTGCCAAAAACGGCGCAGAGTCGCGATTTTAGTACCATCATGTTTGTCATGCTCCGGTGCGTCAAAATGGTACACAGTTGTTTGGGTGGGGTCAACATAAGGTGTTCACATCGGGTCAAAGCCAGGTCAGAGGCACTCAGGTCACGAAGTTGGTCGGAGGAGGTTAATATCGTATATCATTCGATTCGGTAAGTCTTCCCGAGTATATTGGCGACTTTTCCGACTTGCCAATTCAATTTTATCAGGAGTTATTGACGAAAAAACTTGTGACCTTTGTGACGTCATAAATGACGTCACGCTAGGATAAAGATGCAAAAGTGAAGCATTAGACATTGCAAGAATTGCATGAAATTGCGATTCCATGTGCTTGAGCTAGGTTTAGATCATTCTCGGCGTCAAAATTACAGTTTCTATATTTTCCCCATTGACTTGTAATGGTGACGTCACGCGATCGGCCTGACCTCATGTGACCTCTAGGAGAAATCCGAGATATACAAGTTTTGAGACTTCTAGAGGATACTAGGTCCTGTATATATCATCTCGCTGTGACAGCTCCTCTGGCACCGAGGGCATTGCGAAGTTTCGGTATTTTGGGACTATTGCAGAGGTTCACGTGTGACGTCATAAGTCAGTGATCTGACCTGAGACGGAAATGCAATTGGTTTCCAAAGATGCGTATGGAAGCAAGGATAAGGTGTGCCAAATAGCAGCCCTCTAGCTGTAAGGTGTTCTGAGCTATCGCCAAAAGTCGTGAGTGGAGCGCTACCGACTCCTCCGGTCGGCCGCCGGGGGTTAGGAGGCGTGCAGGGTATCGAAAAACCACCTGGTACTTTGCGAATTTTGCCGATAAAAATACGTTTCTTATGCCGATTTATAGCCAAAAGACTACTGAATCTCAAACCAGTCGTATCCTTGCACTAAATGGCTTGGTTTAGACACGATAGGTCTGAAAAGAAAAGGTCCCATGTATTCTCTATGGGCGCCGCGAGGCCGTTGGCACCAGAGTTTCGGGAAGTGCCCTCGCCACAACCGCACGTGCAGATTTGGTCACGTGACCAAGCGCATTTGCCGCCACTGTATTTATATACACTGTGGGTAAAACCCTACATTACTTTAGCGGTGGGCTGTACATTTCATCTCTGATGAAGACCTTTCATGCCATCGTCTCTGATGGCGTACGAATCGAACAACGTATAATGCTTGTTGCCGCATGCCTACGAGCTGAGTCGGGATGGGGTCGGGGTGTAGGTGTTAAAATAATGGTTTGAATCCGGGTTTACATCAGGACACTAAAGAGCCGTTCGAATGAAGCCGCCTTTAGTTGCTACAGCCGGACTATTGCATCTATGAAACCCCTATAAGTGCTGTGAACTAGCCACATAAGCTCTAACTCATCCACCTCTCTTCTACTGGATTCTTATGGTAAAAAGTTTTTACATCGTTAATGTGGCATACAGATTATACCGTGGCCTCGTTTTAGTTGAAAAAGTACATTTAGTGCGCAGCTGTTTCAAAACATTTATCGACACCACCTCAGTTCCCTGTTCAATTTTGGCAAGCGTGAGGTCCTTGTGGCTTTGTTTCCATGACGACTGGAGTTTTAGCCAATGAAAACACTGAATAGTGCCTCAACTAATGGGTCTTTGCTGCAAGCAGCATGATTTCGAATAGAAACTTTGAAACGTTAGTGTCAGTGTAGTTTTGATGGTTTCGTTGTTTGATCTGGTTTGATCAAAGACATTTTATGAGATATTGGAAGGTGCAACGTGAAGTCCGTTTTCAACAGGAGAATAAGCTCAATTTGAGATACTAGGAACAGGTTTATGTTTTGTTGAAGTGAAGCATGTAGGGCATGTCAATGTAGATTGCGAATGGAATCAGATTGTGCAACCAGATCAAGATCTGAAGATGAGGTCAGAGACTGCCGGCTATGGCTTTTTTTATCATAGCTATTTTCTGTTTCAGGTACAGAGATCAAAAAGTATATGCAAATTTAATTGGCACTATGGATACTTGGGTGAAACTCAATGCCAGCTCAGCCGGGAAGGATAAACTTATCAGGTAAGGATGAAATGGTATTAGTAGAGCAGACGTCACACGAAGGCTTTCCAACCAAGGAGAGGCGCTAATCCTAGAGGTGCTTCTATCTAACAAAACCTAAACTAACTTAACCTGTCCTAACCTAACCTACAACCTACAAACCTACATCCTAAAAACCTACAAACCTACCCTACAACCTACAAACCTACAGCACCATTCCTCAGTTAGAAAACCTTTCAGTAATGTCTGCTCTACTAATGCTGATTAAACAAGCAGAGGAATATTCAGATGTTTGAGGAACTTAACTAGATAGGCTACATACTAAATGCCTCTGTAGGTACTTAACAAGAAGGCAAGGAAGCAAGGCAAGTGTTTTTCATCTGGTTATTTTGTTAACTAGACTGTTGAGTGTTGACTGCCTGCTGATTCTGTAGGAATCCTGCTGAAATTGAAGCTGAGGTGCAAACATTTTTATCATTTAATCTTGTTAATGTCTACTGTGCTATGGATTTAATGGTTTTCATGTGACTCAATTCTGACTTCCAAAAATCAGCTCAGACTCATGGCTGAACTATTGACTGACTGACTGGCCTTGCAGCTCTCACAGAATTGTGGAGCTAATAGATTTTTTGGTGAATCCAACTCAAGCCTTCAAACTGATTTTCTCTTAATTCAGTTAGGGCTATTGACTCTAACCAACTCCACCTCTTACTCTGCGGCCCTGAATTTCTATGTTTTTCATGTTCTGAATGTGACAATGATGCCTTTTGTGCAGTAAATAATTCATTAATAAATTATGGTGAGGTTGAGATCACCTGAACTAATTCAATTTAAATTATCAAATTGCCTATCCTCGCCCAACCAAACCGTATCTAACGTAATCAAGCCTAATTTGCAGTACCTGTTGATGTATCATTTCTTCAATTTGTACCAAAATTTCAGGCTCAGGCCGCATCATGTCAGGTCAGGTCACTAGATCATTTTGTGACCCAGCCTCACCATTACTTTGTGGTCTCACTGTGCAGCCAAAGTTGAGAATATATCATCAAAGCTTTTAGGATTCTGTTAGCTCTCACTGTTATCTACATGTTGTTTATGTCATTTTTTTGTGTTGGTGACATAAGCTCAGGTCAGTTTTGTGACCTCTCCATTACAAGTCAACTGGAGGAAGTTCAACTGCTCTCATTTTGGACGAAAGTCATACAAAGCACTCTCAAACATCAGGTAACAAGTAAACATGACACATTGAATTGAAAATTGCACCTGTGACCCCTCTTTATGCCCCTGATATCATCTCAGGCCATGAAAGGTTTCTGGCAGTTTTTAGACAATGATTTCTGATAGAGACGTGCCAGAGCGATGAAATCGCCTTCGATGTGCTCAGCTCAATGATATAAATTGACTAGCATGCAACGTGATAGTTTTGGTCAAGTTCTACTTACATCCTTAGTCAATTTTCAAGTAGACCTTTTTAGCAGGGATGCGGAGCGATGGAAGTTTCAGACGGCTCCGGCTCCGGCTCCGAGTAAAATGGTCCGGCTCTGGCTCCGGCTCCGGCTCCGACTCAGTACATCCCCTACGCGATCAATTAAATACGGGTGGACAAAACAATGGCCGTCGCCTGATGACCGGTCCTCGGGTTCTGGGGATGCAGTTTGCGTGCTGTGGGGAACTAGGTCAATTATTTTTTCCTCTTAAAAAAGAAAAATCAGAACTGCCCCCTGCTTTGACTTGGCTTTGACGGCTCCGGCTCCGGCTCCGGGCTATAATGTTTCACGACTCCGGCTCCGGCTCCCGCTGCAGATCCGGCTTTGGCTCCGCATCCCTGCTTTTTAGGTCAAATTTGGACACGTTTCGACAAGAGGAACACGATTCCGGCAAAATCATTGTGCGAGTTCTGAGTCAGAAGTCATCACTCATCAGAGAAAAAAAAACTTTGCTTTCTGCGAAGGCATCTTTTTTGACATTTGCTTTCAGGAGGCTACACCATTGACCTTAGGTCGAATCTGAGAACATTACTTAGAAAGAGCGTCAAAAGACCTATGGAATGCGATTTTCCGCGGCGCTATAGCTATATTCGTTCCCGAGTAATGCGCCGATTCGTAGAAAATTGTCGAAAAGGCAAAATGTGACCTTTGATGACATCTGATTACCTGACAGTTGACTTGACCTAAAAATTAACTGAAGTGCTTTCTTCCTTATTTTATGACCGTCTTATCGGCCGCCGCCGATAAGACCCGTTGAGGGCTCCAGCCGCGACCACGGCGGCCTGGGCCGGGGACGGGCACGCGAAAACAGGACGGGCGGGCAATAACATGGGGAGCTCAGTCGGGGAGCGGCCGCGACCGCGAGAGGAGAGGAGTGACCCTGCGACACAGGGACCTACTCCACTTTTTTTTCTTTTCTCCCCTCCTTTTTTTCCTACCTATTCGTCGTGAACTCGGTGGCGGCACCGTGTGTACTGTGTGTGCCTTATCTCGCCTCGGCCGCGGCCCGGTCCCCTCCCCGTCCCTGGACCCGGGCCGTCAACCGCGCGCCACGACTCGGGTCTCCTCCCACCCCTCTGCCCCTCCCTCCCTCCTCGTGTTGGCCATCCTCCGTTCGCTCTATTCGAGCCCCAAATCAAGCTAATAGGTGGACCCTATTACTGATTTGGGTGTCTCATACCGTTCGCTCCCCAAATCTGTTGTCCAGTATTGGCTGTTAATGGCCGCCTGCACCCAAATCGTGTTATCGTTCATATCACGATCGATAACAAGACGCCAAACTCGCCAACGGAGCAGCGAACGCCGCCTGCTGCGTGTCTACATGGCCCAGAAGACGACTTAGATGGGGAGGCCCGGAGGGGAGGGTACCCCCCCCCCCCCTCCAGCACTCTGAAAAATTCAGACCACCAGCATGGCGAATGTTAAAATTCACCTGCACACGTGTGTGCGGTGAATTTAACATGTGTGCTGTCTCGTGCAGGTTCACTGAAATCGTTAAAGAAAAAACTAAACAATGAAGTATCAATAGCACCTGCATGTTCTACTTGCCCACTCTATTCATCCAGCGCTCCATCAGTTACCATTTTTTTTATCAGCATGCTGCCGCCTGCCAGATATAAAAAGGCATGCCGCTTATGTGGGATATTGATCCAGTGTCTTGTTTCCAGAGTGCTGCAGTATACGCTGAAGGTGGTGAATCACTACCACCAGCAAAGGCAAACAAATGCTGGTACACTTCAATCATGGAAGCAGCTTGAAGGATCTCTAAGCTCATTCAGAAAGCGTGAGTCTTATTGGTTCATGTTTTCCATTTTGATGTTTGTCTGGCATAAGCCATTCACTAACATAACCTGAAACACTTGCAAAGATCTGCAATATGCACATTTCTACTCTCCTATTTTTCATTCTTTTCCCTGTCTCTACATTCCTTTTCTCATGTTTCTTCGATCTATTTCCCTCTGCTTACCTCCCCCTCTCGCCCTCCCTTTCGCAGTGCTGCGGATGGGTAAGAGTGTCGAGGTGCTGCGCGGCACTTCACGCACCATCCGCCTCTCGGACCCCGTCTACCGGGTGACGCTGACCATTGGGAGGATCGCCCAGTCCATGTTCCTGTTCGCCGACCACCTGCTCTGGCTGTCCCGAGCCGGAGTGATCAGCATTGACGTGAAGAAGTGGGAGCAAATCTTCTATCGCTGCTGGCTCTACAGGTAGGTGAGCAAAGGCCGGCTCTGGCAGGTACGGTCTAAAGGGGAGTTGTCAGAACTCAGAACTGCCTCACGTATCGTTGCATACAGGGCTGCGGAGTCGATGGATTTTCGGCGACTCCGACTCCGACTCCGACTCCGGCTTTCAAAAACCAGCTCCGACTCCGACTCCGACTCCGGGCAGAATTGTCGACTCCGACCGACTCCAACTCCTGACTCCGACTCCGCAGACCTAGCAGGGCTGCGGAGTCGACAGATTTTCGGTGACTCCGACTCCGACTCCGGCTCGGGTTTCTAAAATCGACTCCGACTCCGACTCCGACTCCGGTCACAACTGTCGACTCCGACCGACTCCGACTCCGACTCCGACTCCGACTCCGCAGCCCTGGTTGCATATGTCAAAGTGGATGGCTTTCAGTCTTAATTGACCCATGAACCACGTAGATCACAGGGGCCCAATCTTATAAAGGTTGTGCTACCAAATGGCGTACTATCATTCCACCCCACTCTATTTACGGCACCCTATTCACGCAATCTTATAAAGAGAATAGTATGGTAATTCTATTCACGCCATTTTGCCCACAGTACAAATCAACGCCAGCAGGAAACACGCAACGTGATTGGTCAATGTCTTGTCGCCATCGCTATTGGAAATTATGCGTACTGTTTACGAACAGCAAAAGTTATGTGTTTTAATTTTTATGGGGCATTTACTTCTTTTAGAGACACACATATGTGTAATGAATAAGTTATTTATGGAAAACGTGATAGCAAACTATGGAAAACACAAACATGCTTGAAGAATTCTCCTGAAAAGTGGATTGCCGACCAAATAAATTTCAGCGAGGGCATTCTCGCGCTCAGAAATTCGAGTGAATAAAGTGTTTCTTCTACTTATCATTTGCATTTATTTGCTGTTAAGGCATTGCAATAAATTTGTTAAAGAATTATTTAAATAGTCATTTAATTATAGCTCGGCTACTGTTTCAGTAATTTAAGTAATGTCGTTGACAATGAAGCTCCTACAATTTGAGCATCAGGATACGTACATTAACTGGATCAATTCAAGATATAGCTTATTTTCCTTCTTGTCATAAGCTCTTGACATTTTCCTTCTTGAAGATAAACTACTAAAATTCGAAGACTACGTACATGAACTGAATTAGGTCAAGTTACAGCTTATTTTCCTTCTTATTCAAGCATAGGTACCTGTTACCTAACCTAAAGCTAAAAAGCAATTCCTCAAAAGATTGAAGAACCCAGTCTACATATCAAAGCATATCAAGAAAAATACTCGGCTCAGAAGTCAGATCGAGATGCAGGAAGAGAAGAAACAACACATTGATCCGTAACTGTGCCAGACAGAAAGTGAGGAGATACGAATAGTGAGTAGGAATTAACAATTTTTTGACAAACTAAGGTATATCATCATTAATTTAAATATCTAATCAGAAGCCATGAAGTGCCCGTTATTTGTGTCATACGTGAGACGTGAGAATAGGCTAAAGACCCATACCGATTCTATAATGCAGTGGCTGCCGAAAATCTATGATGGTTACTGGTGCTACAATCCTCTTAAAAACCCCCTTTTAATTTGAAAAAATAAATCCATATAACGATGAACACTCGTTTTTATGTGTTTTAGTGTGCATTTAGTTCCTGAAAATACGTATTTTGAAATTGATCGTTGTCTGTATAATAAGCATCATTATAATGAACCTGAGTTAATATGTGGAGGATGTTTTAATCTTAAAAATATCATAACGTAAAATATTGCATACTTATATCATAAAAACATTGAATTTATCTTAAATGAATTAAACTGTCTGAGAAGCTCGTCAAAGTACGCCACAAATTCTGGCGTGGAATAGGTGCCGACGATGCCGCAATCAGCTGATTATTGTTTGTGTTTTGAGATGTGCACAGCTGCTCACGGCTGAAATCATTCTACGGCACATCCAAAACTGGCGGTTACCAAAACTGTAAAGAGCGTGCCGTGTTTTCGATTTCACAGAGCTTTATAAGATTGCGTACTATATATCCAGCCTTAGAGTGCTGCCATATCCATTTCACGGCGTTTATAAGATTGGGCCAGGGTGTCCCAAAATTAATGTCACACCCTCCCACAACCTTTGTTTTGCCTTCTACTGCGCAATATCAATATCATTTCACCGGTACTGGCTCCCAGACCATATTGGCTACATTCTAGTCACGTGACCTTCGAATTTTTGTGACCATGACCGGTCAAGGGGTGTACGGAGGTCATTTCCGGGGCAGTACCCAGCGCGCGCGGACCAGGTGTCCAGGGTGGCGAAACTGCAGAGCAAATCGTCCCTTAACGGGGCAGTCGGCATGGTTGCCGGTGGCATGACTCACGTCCAGGTCGCCGAGGTACTGGGCATGAGTTGTCGCACGATTTGGCGCTGGTTATCACGCGACAGAAGCGGATAGACGCCTGGGAACAAGCTAGGTCGCGGCAGGAAGACTTCCGCCAGCCGGGTATAGCGCAGATCGTCATCGCGAAGTGCGGAGCTAAAGACGGGCTTATCCACAAGGAAACTGGCAAGGAGGCTGATTGCCAACAGTCATCCAGTCTTCAAATTGATAATCCATCGGTACCGGAGGATGTCTCTAAAGCTGAAGTCCAACAAGCCACGTTTCCAGCCGAAAACTTCTGCTGAACATGTCCAGGGCCATCTTTCAACAAGTCGGCGCCCCGGCTCATCGAGCTAGAACGACGAAGGACTGGTACAGATCGAACTTCCCAGCATTCTGGGAGAAGGGCAAATGACCGGTGACTAGCCCCGACCTGTCGCCGATAGAAAATCTTTGGGCGATCGTCCTGTAAGAGGTGAGCAAAACGGCGCCAGGATAATCTGAAGGCACGTTGACCAGGAACGTTCGATCTGTCTGGTCAAAGATCAGTCCACAGAAGCTAGACATGTTGATGTCTGTTGTCCCGGACCGTATGCTTGCCCGCATCAGGGAGAAGGTGGGATGCATATGTAAGAAAAGCGCGCCTCTCATGTTTGTTATTTTCATGAAATTGACGCTGGAAAGGTGTGACATTATTTTTGGGACACTCTGTACAATGTTTTTGTATGTTACAAGCCGGTTGACTTTCAATCGCCGCTAAGTTTTGCATTTGTTTGCTTTGTTTTACCGTTTATGTCAATGGTCGTTCGGACACCAGCATTCACGTCGCGTGTACACGCATTTTGACCATCACTCGTCCTCTCCGCAGCATCACGATGAACCTGTGCCGTGACGTGTACGACCTGTGGCGGGCGGCCGAGCTGTACGCCGAACACGGCATGCCTCCGGCGCCGCGCCGCCGCCTTCTGCCCGAGCTGCGCGCCCGGCCGCTGGCGCTCATCCTCGACCGGCACAGAGACCTGGCGGTGGACTTTGTCAAGAACGCGTTCGACCTGATGCTGCCGCTGGCGGCTCTCGGCCACGTGCCGCTGTCGAGCGGCGCCGTGGGCGTCTGCGGCGTCGTCTCCAGCGCGCTGGCGCTCTGGACCGTGGTGGACCCGAGCCTGACGCTGCGGCCGAGCTGAGCGGACCGGCCGAGGGAGAAGGGGAAGAGGGCGTATCGCGGAGAGTGGCGGAAGGTTCGCCGAGCAGGTCAGTCCAGGGATGACGGAGGGACTAGAGGGTTCATAAGTGAGCTTGCGGGGTAGATATGGTAGTGGGTCCAACCTGTTCCAGTGTGCTAACGTTTATAGCTCCCTAGGTTTGATGGGATTTATTTTAGTCATTTGTTGTTTGAATCGAATTATGAATGTGCCCCGAGACGCCGCTTACCCTTGCCAGCAGAGTGCAGAGGAGAGGGTCCTTCCGTGATCCTCGTATGCATGTCGATTATGTTGTGATCGAGGGTGGTCTATTGTTCTGTGCTGGTAGCTGGACAAACAGTCGAACTGTGAATAGTGCATCGTTAGCGTTACGGGCATCGATAGACCTAATGCCAGTCATGTAGCGATTTGTTTGAAGTCCTTTGAAGAGCTGTGAATGAATGTGTGCACATTTAACGGCCCATCTTGTATTCGAGCCGATCTATTCAGTGGGAGCCTAGCGTTTATGAGTCCATGCGTATATTTTGGTACTTGCTAGTTGTTACTTTGTACAGAGTAGGTATTTGAGTGCTGGGCATTTAAGGTCAGATGTTTGCAGCTGTAGACGCCTGGGAAAGGTGAATGGTGACTTGTCCGCGATAGCACAAGCATTGCTATAGCCGCGTCACTTGGGGAATGGCGATTTTTTAGGGTTGTTCGCAAGTGACGACTGCTGTTGAGCAATTACAATGTCTTTTGCGACGTAAGTCATTTCTGCGATCTTGTATGCCTATCAGAACGATACGGGACTGATAAGTGATATACTGGCGTCATTTCCGCTTTTAGAGTGGACTATGATAAAACAACTGATTCATACTTGCAATACATATATTTTGTCAAAAAAAGGTTTTGTGTTTTTGATTGTAAAACTAATCTTTCAGCGTCATTGCATCCCCAAGCTGACAAAGAAACTTCCCAACCTGGGCCCCGAATATCACAACTGCGAATAAACTCATTATGCGAGGCGAGCACGTTTCGCCCTTAGAATACGATATGGGCAGCTCACCTTTGAGTATCGCGCGCGGTAAGGTATTCAACAATTCATAGCGGGACGCTGACGCCTTGTCGTGCATGTAAGAATGAGATAGCAGGGCACATCGACTCTATCTTCTACCCCGCATGTGCACTGGGGGAGTCATGGGTGCGTCCTCGTCCTCATCATCTTCGCGCTCGTCGCCCTCCTCGCTGGCTTTCTGGAGGAGCTCAGCCAGCATCTGAGCGTCCTCCGCTCCCTGGGTGTCCACGTTAGGGCCCGGCGCTGTCTCGGCCTTCTGCTCCTGCTCCTCCCTGTCGGCCAGTTTGCCCTCGGCGTTGGCCAGTTTCAGCTCTGTCACGTGCAGCCGGTGCGTCAGCTCACTGATGTCGTCATTGGCTTCTGCCAGCTGGCTGTGCAGCTCCTGCACGGTGAGCTCGCGCTCGCTGAGCCGCTGTTCCAGTTGCTGAAGCTGCTGCACGTGCAGTTGAAGCGCAGTGGTACGCTCGCGCTCCAGGTCGGTGGAGATCACCAGCTGACCAGTGTCCGATGCGAGCATCTCGCGCGCGAACAGCTCGATCATGAAGTCTGGAAAAGTGATTTTGTGAAGGTGACCGCTGTAGTCTGTCTGTGAGCCGCGCTCGGCGGTGGGCTCCTCCATGGGATTCGTGGCGGCGTCAGCGGTGGTAACCGCCGGCGCCTCTTCCTCCTGTTCGGGCACGGCCTTCACCGCGATGTGCTGCGTCCGCCGTCGTGGAGAGCCCCGTTTGCGGGAGCCAGACCTGCCGGATAACGGCGGTGAGGGCGTGATGCTGTTGCGGTGTCTAGGCGTGGCTCCGGGCGCGGCTGTTCCCTGGCGTTTGAACGAGATGCTGCTAGTGCTGTCACCCAGTCCCGACTTAGATTCTCCGCCGCGAGAAGTGATGCGGGAACGGGAACGTTTTCCTCCGCTGGTCAAACTGATGTTGCTTCCGGTGGACTTCTTTTTGGACCCTGTAGATATGTTGGAGGCTTTCCTGCGAACTGACTTTTTTCCTTCGGAGTCCGTGACATCAAGTTTGCTTGGTGTTTCGTCCTGCTCGGAGGCTTTTTCGGATGCTGCCGCTTCCTCTTCCGAGGCTATGGGTACCAACAGACTCGGCCTGCCACTGCCGGCTGCTGTTTTTCGCTCGCCCCAATCTCCGGGGAACTTGGGTGCGATGGTCACCTCCGAGTCCTCAATCACCGAGGATTGTCTTCTGCTGCCCGCTGTTTGTGGTTGCGCCACTCCGATGGCCTGGGGACCCACCGCCTCGCTGGTCCGCCTGCTCCTCCACGAGCTCCAGGAGGGCTCATCCGTGCTGACGGCCCGGTCCACCATCAGCTGCACGTTCTCTGTGTTGACGCCGCGCGACCGCGCCGTCACGTCCGGCTGAAACATCTCGCCGTTGCGCAGCTTTGTCATGCAAGTGTCTGACAGCTCGGCCCACGTCTGCGCCTCAGTGCGGAACATGTCCGAGAGGGTGGCTGGATCGATGCCGACGTCGCCGTACGTCCTGCCGCCTTGCTCCTGCACCAGCTGCCACGACTGGTCCAGCGTCTCGGTGGCCAGCGCCAGTCGGCCCTTGATCTTCTGTTGGGTGGATCCGAGGTCGGCCACGCTGGTCGCCGTTGACTCGATGAGGCTGCGTGCCGGGCCCGGGATGCTGGGGTGATAGGGCGCCGCCAGCAGCAGACACTCGGCCGTCCACTGAGTGATGCAGTCCTGCATGTCAGTCAGGTCCAGCTTGGTGTCGTTCATGGTGCTGGCCAAACAGTCGACCACCGTGTTGCGGTACTGGTCCACCTTCTCGTTAAGCTTCTCCCGCACCACTGTGTAGTTGGTGCGGCGGCCGTTCCACATCAGTGAGCCGTTGACGTCGTTTGAGCGCTGCAGACTCATGGACCACTTGGCCAGCTCGGTCTGCAGTCGGCCGAGGTCACCTGTACGCAGGTTCCGCTTGGCCCACATGCGAACGTCCACCTCAACTTTGTGGATGGTGGGGTCAATACCGTGGTAAAAGGCCTCGTCCAGCAGGGGCTGCGCGACCTTCATCATGTTGTTGAGCTCGTCGGAGGACTTGCCAACCTTTTTGCGGAAGTCATCGTCTCTGATCGGCAGCAGGATGTGGGATTCGGTCTGGAATAGCCACGACTGACGCACTATCTCCAGTCTGCCGAGGTTTTTCTCGACCTTGGAGCTGCCCTCCAAACCGTCCTCCACCTGGCCGAGCTCGACGGTGAACTGGGACGTCCACTGGACTAGTGCCTTGTGCAGCGTCACCGACTTTCCGCCCTCGAACGGCGTCACCAGAAACTCAGCGGGGTCAGGGCTCACCGCCGACTTCAGCTGACTGGCCACCGTCTCCAGACTACGCCACATCTTGTTCGCAAAGTTGAACACGCGCTGCTCACGATTGTTCATGAAGAAGATGATGTCCTCGACTTTGCCAAGCCAGTCCCTGAGGTAGGAGAAGTTCAGCTCGGTCTGTTCGTTGTCTTTGGTTTCCCGCTCCTCCATAATCTTGTGCGCCATTTGCACCCACGTATCCAGAGATGTTGCCAGGAACCGGAACAACCCTAGCTTATAAACATTGACCACCTTGGAGATCAACGAGCAGGCTGCGTTCTTCCAGAACTCGCGCTGCCGTGCGTACGAGCATGTTTCCTGCTCCTGGCGATGTTTCTGCATCTTGTAGAGCTCGTGGAGCTGGTCAGAGATGCGACTGGTGCTCTGAGCTTCGATGAGCGCGTGCTTGAGCTCCTCCTGTGCGGTGCACATGCGACCTTTGGTCTGCTGATACACATGATGCACATTGTCAAGCCCGAGCACCACCTGCACCAGTCGGATCTTGAAGTGGAGCAGTTCCTCCATTAGCCGCCGGTCTAGCGATCGTTGTACGATGTTCTCTTCGTGCAGCGACATCACGATGCGCGGTATGCGGCTCAATAGTCGGGCATAGAAGTCGCGCAGCTCCGAGAGGATCTCTCCACGCTCGCTGCAGTCGAGCGTCACCTGACGGATGATCTCGTGGAAGATGATATTGTACACATCCTGCTCGGCGCGCACCAGCTCTATAAGCCGCTCGATCTCTGAGTCTGTGCGCTTCTCCAGCACCACCTCGGACAAGCTCTCGCCCATGCCGGCCTCCTGCAGTAGCCGACGGAACACGTCGCGCAGCCGGAGAACCTCCTCGCGCGTCACTGGTGTTCGGCTCGGCACGCGGGTCCGGTGTGCTCCGTGATCCTGGCTCTGGACAGTGTACTCGTCCTGGATGAGAGACAGATCTCCCTTGTGCTGGTAGCGCTTTACATGCAGCTCCTCCGGGATCAGTGTGGCAATGTTCTTAGCCGGGTTTCTCGGCTTCTGTAGGTCAGGATGGAAGTCGCGCGACTCAATGCTGGCAGCGAACTCTTTGTTGTTGACGTTCTCCAGGAAGAAGGTGAAGCCGTCGCCCACGCCGCAGCGACATGTCGTCCGTTCGGTCTGGTGTTTTAGCTCGTCTCCCTTCGAGAAGCTCCAGACGTTTGGAACGCGCTGCTGGCATTTCGACTTGAGGGACTTTTTGTCCTTTGAGTAGGTCCGCACAAAGTCAGCTGGTAAACTCTGCCAGTCTTGCGCTCTTTTCAGAATCTCTTCCTTGTTTGGAATTGCATCCTCTGGAAATTCATCGTCAGACTCGTCACAGTCCAGCATGGCGCGCAAATCTTCTTCGATTGAACTCGATTTTCGGCTCAGTAGGGACATCGTGGTAGTTTCAGTACTCACAGTGCGGGACTCGGTGGATCACAGATGATAACAACCGGTATGTGTTAACTGATATGGCTTTACTGGTATAACCGGTGTGATTATAATGCAGCACCAGCCTTGACCCTTTGTTTGAAGCAAATTTGCGGTTGAGACTGTTTTGTAATGTTGCAAAAATGCTTCAAGATAGTATACGAAACCATTAGCGAGGTGTATCGGACGGAGTTCTGTTAGCCAACTAGCGTGTTCTTTTTCTCGCTGCATCAACGCAACGATGTGCAAAGACGTCATGCAAGATTACTAGAACATACATAGACGAACATAACATACATAGAACACCATACCCTATGTTCTATGAACCATAGAACATAGACGTCATGGTTCATAGCGATTTGATTTTTATTTATCAACACGTGACATAGTCATTGATGATTCTAGTCGCTTGCTCGACACCGTGATGATATGAGAAATGGCAGTTTTGCGATGCAAGTTAGCGATACCTATATGAGACTGAGATCGTTGCATAAACACTCCTATTTACAAAGATGCCAGCCATGCCGTGGTGCATTCGACAAGGCAAATTCGAGCAATCTGGGACCACCATGAAGCGAATAAATGTTTCATGGCCTCGAATACGCTGCCCGCGTGGGCTGTGTACGCGGCAATTAAAACAACGGACATTTCTTTTTTCTCGTAAAATTGCATGCTGGTGGCCCCATCTATCATCTATCTTTTTTCGTGTTTGGTATATCGACTACATGATAGACGATAGCCGCTGAAGTGACTTAACATAAAACGCTTATTGCATTGTTAGTGGTCATTCTTCGTTTGAATGGCAATATACTCCGCCTGCACAGAGTCATCCAGTCGACAAATTATTTCACTTAGATTCTGGTTACTGGTAAAACATGCCGAATATTTTTGTTTTTTTACCGACCAATGTGAAGCTCGTTGGATGCACTTGTTACAGAGGAATGTTAGAGCGTAGTATCCATTGCTAGACACGATATGCCTATCTGACCTGCCATGCACGATAGTGACTGTCGCACGACAGCGTACCCGTGGTCTATCCATTGTCCCAGGTGGCCCTCCCCTACCCGTTGGTACGCTCTCCGCTCAGCGCCGGCCGAGGAGCTGCACCCAGCGCGAGGGGTACCCGCGGCCCCTGCCGGTGCCCGGCTCCGGCGCGGCGCCGACCTCAGCCGGACACTGGAAGTCGGCCTCTTTGAGCGGGATGCCGGTGGGTCCGCCGCTGAGCGCGCACAGCGCGCCGAGCAGGTGCCAGCAGCCGGCCGGGTTGCCCCAGCGGCCGAGGAAGCTGAGCCACTGCGGCGGGCGGCGGTGCAGCAGCTCTAGCTGCTGCCACGTCTTCCACGGCGTGCCGGCGGCCGTGACGTCGGACAAGTGCGCCAGCCGGCTGTAGACGTGTGTCCCGGCCGAGGGCCACAGGCCGTGAGAGCCGCGGGCCACGTACAGCACCGGGTGCGTCCGAAACACCTGCAGCTGAGGGAGGGAACAGAGACTGTCAGCGGACTGCTCGTCACTGCAACACCGGCGAAACACCTGCAACTGAGGGAGGAAATAGAGACGGTCAGCGGACTGCTGGTCACTTGCAGCACCTGGCGGGTGCTGCAGCTGAGGAAGGGCAGAGATCCGAGCTGCCCGGCAGGACAGAGTAGCGTTGGCTTAACTCCGAAGTGTGACCAGACTGGACGGTCTGAAACTATTCAAATCATCAGGCACCAATACCATGCTGGTGGTACAGCTGTCTTAACTTCTTTTCATTTTGAAACACATGGACGTTACGCATCTGTTACTTTCCCGCGAATTTGCATGAATGAAGTAACATTGGGCAATGCAAAGCAAGCAAAACGTATGTAACTCACCGTGGGTGGGTACTGCGGACTGACTGGGAAGCCGCCCCTGTTGACCTGAGACGTAAACTGATACAGGTTGGTGGCCCTGTTGTAGCTGTAGTAGGCTCCGAACTCGTGAGCCGAGATGTAGAGCGAGACCGGCTCCCCGTACTGTTGGAGAGACGGGTGCGTTAGCGCACGGTCAGGTGGTCTGCGGTAACGCTGGACAAGCATATCAGTGATTAGTGATCAGTGAATCAGTGATCAACAAGACTGATCAGTGAACGCTGGCGATATTGGAAACAGTTCTTACATGAAAATCGCCCATCGATGGAATCTTACATCGTTCGAATTTTCATCAGCTCGAAATCGGTGGAATATTTGCATGTTTCTATTTTTTTCCAGAGGGTCTACGATTTCCTTCACCACCTTTACGTCGATCCCAACTTCCCGTCCTATCCTATCCCACTTCCCCCTCTACCTCTGGCGTATTCCTCACCTGCACCTGAAGACTGACATGTTCCCAGTCGCCAACATGGCTCCCTCGCAGCCGGCCGGCGGCCTTCTTTCCCTCGCTGAACGGATGGAACATCCAATAGGTGGCCGTGAACGAGGGCAGAAGATCGGCGGTCGGTTGACCGGTGTCACACCGTGACACCGTCACGTAGACGGGTACCGGGCGGGTGGCCGGACTGGTGCCGCGCAGGTGCGGCGGCGGACGCACCTGTTCCGTGCCCAGACCTGCCGGACGGGACAAAGAGGGGGAGGTGAGGGTCACTGGAGGGTGGAGGCGGACCTGCTCCGTGGCTAGACCTGCCGGACAGGACAAAGAAGGCGGGAGGTGAGAGTCACTGGAGGGTGGAGGCGGACCTGCTCCGTGGCCAGACCTGCCACGGACGGGACGGAGGATAAAGGTCTACCGTGGTGACTTACTGAAGAAGATAACTATCCGAACTTTAAGGGCTACGTTTTTATGAACTTTGGAATATAGGTACCTTTGTTTGAGGCCATTTTAAATCGCATGATTGGTGGCTATTCCTCGACGACTATTTACAAAGCTTGATGAAATGCTCCCATAGAAGCAAAAAAAAAAAAAATATGAGATACCTGGATGAGTTATATTCTACAGGGGGCTTTCCGACTTAATTATCCACGACTTGCTGGTCGCTGCGTGTGGGTGGGCTCCCCCAATCATCGAGGGCCAAAAGCCACGATGACGGCGCTGCCACATCCACTGACCTGGCGGCAGGCTGGTGACGAGATGTGTGTCCAGACTGCGGCTGCCCACCGGCAGGCTGGCGTCCACCACCGGCCGGCGCTGGCCGGAGCCGTCCTGCACGTGCACGTGAGAGATGAACTCGAGCACGTCTCCGGGAAACCACCGCTCGTCCGGGTGCAGGAACAGCAACGGCGCGTGCTTGGCGACCAGCTGGTCCACCAGCGCGTCGCCTGTCGAGTGAACAGAGGCTGTCATTCACAATAGGCGATGCGATGCGATGCGATGCGCCCGCGAGTTGGTTGAGACTAAAGGCAGAGATTGTAGGCGTTCTGCAGGTACTGGCGGGCTGTGACAATTGCCATTCGCAATTTGCAATGTGCAGACAATTGCCACTATGGCAAAGCAGTTACATGCATTGCACATAACTGCTCAGCTTGTAATTTTGTGTCTGTTACATGACTTGAAGCTGCTTCTGCCTAAGGGCATCGGTCGCTAACGAGCATTGTTTCACCTCTGCTAGAAAAGCCAGCCTATATCCTCCAAGCACTTCCACTTTGGGCCGATTTTTCATCACCTGCTAATCTAACGCCTTCGATACAGTGACCCCGGTTTTTGGTCCTCCGTCTCTCCCCTAATACGGCCACTATAACGAGCGGCGGAGAAAGGCTCGCCATCTCTTCATCTCTAGACACTTGGGTTGTTTGGTCGACGGGACCGGGCGAACCACAGACAGCTAGTGACCTGAGGCAAATGGCTGACCCACATACTCCCGGGAGCTGGACGCGCACAAACACTGATCCCTCTGAGAAGGATTGATGGCGAGGATACGCCCGTCTGGCGCCTGCAGGCTGGGACGATCGCTGCTAGCGATCAGTCAACACATTACCTGAAACCTGTTCCGCTCCACTGTGCACGGTCGTTAGCAGGTGCAATAGCGGCGTCAGCAGCAGCGGCGTGCGCGGCCCGGCCCGCTGCTGGCGTAACTCGGCCATGGCGTCGCGGTCGGCCCGGAGGCTGAAAGTAAGCGCACTCGGTGTTAGCTGCGCACGCGCCACGGCCCGGCCACATCGGCGAGCATCGGCTCCGTGACGCAATGTCGGACCTTGTGCGGCGCCGGCACCGTCTCGGCGGCCGGTCGGGTGTCGCCAGTCGGTCTGCCGCTACCCTCGGTAGTCAGCGGCGGCACCGACACAAAGGGGCCACCTCATGGCGGTGGTTTATTGGGTCACGGCTCAACAGAGGTCATCCATTCATCATGCGCCCCCCCCCCCAAAAAAAAACAGTTACAATAATAAGCCGTCAAAACGATCATATCTGTTCTTTGACGATAATATTTCCCTTTCGCATGCGATAGGACCCCCAAGCTCTTTCACAATACGCCCTTCTTACACCAGGTTCATAGTTCGCACAACACCAACGATTTCCGCGCCTGTGTTGCCAAATATGACAAACATTACAGACATGACAAGCATTAAAAGGAAGGCGATATGATTTAGCGTTCCCGTTGGCGGCGCAGAAGTTACGAATACGTAGCTTATCAGCCAGCAGTAGCAATCCCCGCGGCCATCACGGCCGCCGTTCCTCGAGCGTGTCCCTCCGTGACATAGTCACTACCGTAAATCACATTTCAACACTTCTTGATTATTGGTACCGAGATATGCAAATTGTGCTACCACGCAATTCGTGCATTTCATGAAATGCGTCCCGCTATAAATCTACACTAGAGTAGGTACATTTTTGCGCACTTCCAAAGTGTTCCAAACTGCCTTGAGCAAACCTCCGTGCTGTGCATACAGTTGGCATTTCGTGAAAGGGAAACGAATTTGACCGGTATCGTGACTTTGACGGTGCACTTTTTCCCTACCAGTGAGAGATATCATTGATCATTTGGATTTACCTGATTCCAGATGATACGTAGATCCCATATGTAGATGCGGATGTTGTTCATCAAAGGAATGCCTACACTACACGTAGGTATGTGAGGTCCGCGTCATTGGGCCCAAAGGAACGTGAGCGTGAACTCGAAAGGCTCAAAGGAACCCTCAGAAACCTACGTGGCACCCCTCAAAGGTCCACACTGACCCATCTGAGGCCGCGGCGTGAGCGGTTGGGCTCAGGTGCCGGTGTGGGGCCATCAAGGATAACGTAAGACCCTCAACATCGGCGTGTGGCGCTCAAGGATGTTAAAAAACCTTTGTGGGGCCCCTCGGAAGCCGACTTTGGTTTATCTGGTGTCAGCGTCGGGACCCTGAGATTCCAACGTAGGTCCGTCGGAAATGACGTGTGGCAGGTGACAGGTCCTGTATGGGATCCTCAGAAATCGGCATGGGCTCTCGGAGGTCAGCATGGTGCCCAGACGAGCCTCCGTATCTCTCTTCATCTCTTTCACGGGGGCCACTTATGCACTCGCATATTCATCGGCAGAAGGAATTCATACTTGTGTAGAAACGACTACAAGGGTTAGTTACTTGATACTTCATTCCGGGCATTCCTAATAAGGCACTGCAATATCAACACAGCACGCAATCATGTCTCTTGATTGCTTCTGCTAAACATAAATGATTTGCAGAGACTTAACTCTATACGACATATTCTCTGAACAAATAACGGATTTACGCTGCATGACATTATCGACCGCAATCGCTTGGTGCCGCAACTATACGCCTTGCCGCCACCCGTTCTCGCCGTTCATGCATTGATGCAAGGCGTTGCTCCACTCACCTGTGCCGGGGCGTTCCGAGCCCGCCGGTCGAGCGGACGGCCGATCAGCTGAGACTCGACGGCAAGGTCGTCTGGGGGCCGCGGCTGCCGCGTGCTATACTGGCCTGTCGGGTGGGACACGCGACTCGACACTCGACAAGCCCGCTCTGGCCCGAGGCGGCCTGCAGCCTCGTCTTTCACAGCCGTGATGACGGTGGTTATGACAGAGTCTATCCACAGTTCCCACCTCTGTTGGTTTTGCTTCACACCTCGAATCCGAGCTCACCGATTTTAGAGTTCACTATCGTCAGATCTGTCAGTCCGCCCGTGGCGCTCCTCGACGGCTCAGCCGCACCGCTTCGCCGTCCTAGAACGCGAATTGCTCAGTCCTCTCCACCGCCAGTAGCCTCTCCGTTACACTGTTGTCACTTCGCCTTCCCCTTCTTCTGCCGTCGTCCTTCGCCCTTGTACACGCCCGTCTCTCCTGGCTCCCTGCCGTCCGATCACCGACTGGCGGCCGTGTCCTCTCCGCGCCGGTCGTCACCACCGTCTGGAACGGGATCAGCCGCTCCAGTGGCCGCCGACCCAGCGCGGCGCGACCCTGGGCCCAGAGCGGCGCGACCCTGGGCCCGTGGCGACCGTCCCCGTCCGCCCCAGCTTACACGAGGTCACGGACTGACCGCCGCCGCCACCTCGGCAGCGGAGCCGACATCTCACCGCCGTGCCTTTCACAATGTGCCGTGGGGTTGTGCCGCGCGCCGCCGGGCCTCGCTCGCAGGGCTCCAGTGCACGTGCAAGGACTGTGGGGTCGGGAGGTACCGGTGTAGTCATTGGAGCAGCGCGCCGTGGTAACGTGCAACTAAAGTTGCGATATTGTGTTACAGTGAGTTGCATTCATCCATTTCGGACATTTTTTTGTAATTATGTTGTTAACATTCATGACATATTTTTCCAAAAAAAGCTCCTGATGAAATGATTTTTGACCCATGCACGGCTTCAAGAGACTTCAAGGTTTAAAAGACTCGAAGGCAAATCAAGTGTCAAATCGATGTGCATGTCAAAATCCAGAATAACCTGACCATTGGCGACCTGTGATGACCTGACTTTCCACTTAATTCAAATTGACTATTTGCAAGGGTGCGATTTATTTGGTTTAGTAAGCGTTTGATTGTTTCCTATTTTTCAGCTCGTCCCCTTGTGGGTTATGTACCTAACTGTTATGAACCGGTGGCTAAAGTATTTGACAGAAACAATCCGAGACAAAGGCACTTGAAGTTCACACAGAAGAGAAAATGCAATGAGGGAGGATGAAGCTATACTTGAAGTGTTGATGTTCCTAGTGGAAGGGAAAACATTTCACACTATGTCAGTGTTCAGTAAACCTGATCAAATTCGATCTTTTTACCAAGTATTAACCCGCGCCCCAGTGGCGGTCTCAGCCAACTTCGCCCTAGCCCTCGCCCGCACATGGGGGGGGGGTGGTTGCCACCCCCCCCAGGCAGTCTTTCTGCTCTGCACTCAACATTTTTAGAGCTAGAAGGCTGATTTTTCGTATAGCTGCTCGTCTATCCTTTCTTGATGTCCACTGAAAATTTCAAGTTTCTGTGATTTTTGGTTTCGGAGATATGACCTTGTTTTTCAGGTCATGTCATGACCCAAATGGCCAATTCTCAACATCTTGCGTTTGCCATGGGCCTTGTGAGCTTTTGACCCCCTGATTTCGGCCTTTTTTGCCAGTCTTACCTCCCACCTATCATGGAACATGTTGTTCGACGATGTACAGGGGTCAAGGTCAGGGTCAAGGTCAACCTAGGTCATCTAAGATAATTGCGTTTTAGGCAAGCTGAATTTACTTTTTGTGAAGTTTTTTGACTGCATTTTTGGTAAAAGCTTCTCAGATCATGATTTCATGTGATATGGACCCAAAAACAATCGGTGCACACATCAGTATACACACAGACACACACAGACATACAAACACATATAATTGACCTTGACCTAACTTGACCTGAAATGACCTCAGCAGCAAAATTCTGGTCGGATAGTGTGACAAAGAGGTTCTAGCTTGCTTGGCACCAGAAAACAGCATCGTCATCGGTATTTGATAAGCAGCGCACTTGATATCCAACGGTGACCCAAAACAGCAACATTTTTTAGTTTGACCTGACCTGGAAGGTCAATGACTGACCTGAGAAGGTAAAACTGGGTATCATTGGATTCGTCTCTTCCCAAAGAATCTTTTTGGTTTTTACTGCTAAGCTCTATCTCCAACAGGAACGAAATGGCGCGGGGGGGGGTGGCAACCACCCCCCCCATGTGCGTTCTAGGATGGGAAAATGGCATGTGCGGGCGAGGGCTAGTGGGGGGGGGGGGGGCATATGTTACCACCCACCTCTAACTCAAAAACCAAGAGGGCTAGAAAGACGCAGTAAAAAGCAGTCGATAGCTCTCAATGAGTACGTTTGAAAGTATTTAGTCATTTTTCACCTTAGAGCAATATTGGGGTCACCAGAGGTCATCAAAGGTCAAAATTTGCCAATTGTCATTATATTTTTCAGAAAGCATGCCGCTATCTCAGGAACTATGGTAGCTAGAAAAACGCATGGAAGAGCCATCGATAGCTTTTGAACTCTTCTTTTGAAAAGGTCATTATCAATATTGACCTCAGGTCAACGGTTTAGCCGCCAGAGGGCAAAAACTCCAAAAATAGCTGTTTTTACGAAAAGTGTTTTTCGACAATAACTTTCGACTGCAAACAGCCACGGCATTTCTATTGCCAGAATCGTGTTCCCCTCGCCGAGACGCGTCGAATGAACTATAATTTGACCTTGAAAGGTCAACTTGAAAATTTGACCTCAGGTCAAGGTCATGACCTGACCGGAAAAGGTCATGTTGCATATCAGTCGATGCGTCTCAACAAGACAAACACAATGAGACCATCCCCAGCGTTCTATCTCTTTCCATTCGCGAGTTATTGGCAAAAACTGTTTGTAGCCTCAAATGACCTCGGATGACCTTTCTAGAGGCTATCAGCAAAAATGACGCCTTGGTCATCACGAGTGGACTAAATCATTGTGATTCTGAAATATTTGGACTGTTCCTATGCGTACACATGGATCTAGAGGCATTTTCATTTTTCTCCATTGACTTGTAATGGAAAGGTCACGCCACTGACCTGACCTTAGGTCACGGATATAAAAAATCCGAGATATGCAAATTATAGGCGCTCATCACAGCATGCAATCCACCAAGTTCAAAACCTTTCTGACAAACACTGCAGGCTGGACATGATTGCAAACTTTTTTAGGCTTGGTCAGTTAACTTGACCTGGTGACCTGACCAGTGACCTGACATGACCTGGGGTCAAAAACTTCACACATTGTCAAAAATTGATGTACCAAAAGGTACCCCAACAGGGTGGTAACATATGCCCCCCCCCCCCCCCCCACTGGGGCGAAGGTTAAGAAAGTAATTGGCATCAAGCTCTTGACGATGCGTAAAGTATAGTCTTTTTTGCCGACCATATGACGTCGATTCGGCTTTTCTTTGGACGAGGACTCAAACAAAATGTCAAAGAAGTGCGCTGTCATTATGTGAGACTTGTAAGTTTGCCAACAAGTCCCGTGGAAGTTCAAACGCCTCCTTAACAAATACAAAATGCCCGATGCAGTTTACCTTGAAATTGCCCATTGTTTTGACGCTCTGTGTCCTTGTCGCTGTAGTTTGCAATAAAATGTTTGTCTTTCGCAAAGTTAACCGCGAATGACATGAAAACTCTGCATGATCATGTCTTATGTATATTGCAGATTTGCTTACCTTTACCTACACATAGCTATAAGCCTTTGCTCTTTACTAGCCGGTCGAAATGAGATCAAGGCTTTTCTTGCACCATAACATTGGATAATTTTTAACTAAGGTCGGTGAGTACTTTTTGTGATCACTTGTCCGACCTATTGAAGGTAGCTGAGCTCTCGGCCGTTGTGACATACAAATAGAAAAATAAAAAGAATTTCGTGAAATAAAGTTAATCCACCTGAGCACCGAGTGAAGTAACCCTAAATCAACTGGACCATCTTAATCTGACTGGTCAGAGATACCTCTGAGGCGCTCGGTGGACAGTGTCAGTCGGGCAAGGTCGCCGTGCGGTCTGACGAGTCTGTAAGTCGGCCGGTGACCAGCTGTTGTGACTGTCAGTCGCCTGCTTATGATGGTCGGCTGTAGAGCTGTTACTGCTGTGGCAAGTTCGTATTGTTTTTTGGTTATTTTGGTTTCGCTTAGAGTTCACGAACTTGCGGGGAAGACGAGACCAGACACCCGAAAATAAAGTTGCACTGAAAAATCGTCTATGTACACATTGATATTATTGTCGGTATCGCTTTTCATTAAAGTATAACCAAATATAAAGTTTATTTCATATTAGGGCGGTAACCTTCTGTCTTTTCATTTATCGGATCAATGTGTGATAGCCGGTACCCATGCCGATGCCTACCGCAATCATGCGCAGGCCCGGCGCCCAACGGTGCATTTTCCTGTAGTTCGTTGCAGTCTCCAAGCCTTTGGTGCTACTGTGGAGTGTACGATTGCAGTCTCCAAGCCTGTGGTGCTACTGCAGTGTGTACTAATGCAGTCTTCAGGTATGTGTGGTGTTACTTATTTGTGTACTGTTGCAGTATCCAAGCCTGTGGTGCTACTGCAGTGTGTACTATTGCAGTCTTCAGGTATGTGCGGTGTTACTTATTTGTGTACTGTTGCAGTCTCCAAGCTGTGATACAAGTGTAGTGTGTACTATTGCAGTCTCAAGCCTGTGGTGCTATTGTAGTGTGTACTTTTGAAGTCTCCAAGCCTGTGGTGCTACTGTAGTGTGTACTATTGCAGTCTCCAAGCCTTTGGTGCTACCGTAGTGTGTACTATTGCAGTCTCCAAGCCTGTGGTGTTATTCTAGTGTGTGCTATCGCAGTCTTCAAGCTTGAAGTGCTACTGCAGCTTGTGCATATGCAGTCTCCAAGCTTTTGGTGCTATTGTTGTGTGTATAATTGCAGTCTCCAAGCTTTTGGTGCTATTGTTGTGTACACTATTGCAGTCTCCATGCTTGTGCTACTGTTGTGTGTATAATTGCAGTCTCTAAGCTTGTGGTGCTACTGCAGTGTGAAGTGTTGCAGTCTCCAAGCTTGCCGTGCTATTGTTGTGTGCTGACATGCAGTCTCCATACTGTAGTGCGTAGTATGTACTTTTGCAGTCCCCGTCTTGCGGTGCTACTGTAGTGTGTGTACTTTTGCAGTCTCCAAGCCTGTGGTGCTTCTGTGGTATGTGCTATCGCAGCCTCCAAGCCTGTGTTGCTACTACTGTGCTGTGTACGATTGCAGTCTCTAAGCTTGTGCTACTGTGGTGTGTCCGTTGCAATCTCCAAGCCTATGGTGCTACTGTATTCATTGCAGTCTCCAAGCTGTGGTGCTACTGTAGTGTGTACTATTGCAGTCTCCAAGCCTGTGGTGCTTCTGTGGTATGTGCTATCGCAGCCTCCAAGCCTTTGGTGCTCCTGTATTGTGTACGATTGCAGTCTTTAAGCTTGTGGTGCTACTGTGGTGTGTAGGTACTATTGAAGTCTCCAAGCCTGTGGTGCCAGTCGTTTACTGACATGCACTCTCCAATAGAATTGGAGCTCCCGTTCCGATATGCGAGTGAATTGGCAGTTATCCGTTTGTGAAGACGCTTTGGTTGGGCTGTATCATAGAACAGCCGGCTCTACAGCCGGTTATGTATGATATCTTACGTTATGGTGCCCACTAAAATTACTTACAAACGCCAATGCCCAGTCTACTAGTACCAAGTACATTAATTGTCTCTTCTCGGCAGCATGAGTGCAAATATGGGTGCTCGATACCTTCTTGAGTTGCGATAAAGCACAGACCTGTTCTTGACAGTCGATTCGGAATGTGTTCGGCAATAATCGATGGTGTCCTAATCACTGTGCGTAATATCTGCGTCTAACGTAATCCGATGGAGTGATGTCAAGTTCGGCGATGACTGATCAGTTGGAGCTGCCCAGGGGGAGGGTGGCACGCACCGGATCATACCGCTGCACTATCATGTGTAACCAGCAATAGAGAGGTAGGTTTGTGGAAACTGAGGGACAGCTGAATGCCATTAGCCCGCTGCCATCTTCCTAACGTCAAGCGTCTTAACCCTCGCGGGCCCGGGGGGAGGGCGTTTTTCGCCCCCCCCCCCCCTGGCGAATATTTGCGATAACTCACGAACGCTTAGGGATAGGAAGGCGAAACTTTCAGTACCTTTTCTCCCATCAATTTCACATCTTCTGAAGTAAAAAATTTGGACCTAGCCCCCTTGATGACGTCACAAGGTCAATTTTTCTAGACCCCTGCACGGCAAACTTCGGCGTCACAGACGCAAACTTCAAATAGCTGCTAAAAATAGAGTTTTAGAGATAAAGACAAATTACGAGCACGGCTGTGTAGCGTTTGACCTAGAGAAAAATAGAAAAATAGTTTCGGTGACCTGAGGTCAGAGGTCAGGTCAACGACCCCGAAATGTGGTTTTAGTTTTTCGCAAATAACTTCGACAAAAATGGTCCTAGAGCTACGGCAGTGGTACCATCGCATTCGCCTTGTCAAGCCGCGTCGAATGATATATATTTTGATCGGAAAAGGTCAAGTTTCATGTTGACCTCATGTGACCTCGAATGACCTCTGGTTGACCTTGACACATGAAAGGTCGTTTATGATGGATTTGTACCCGCTGATCACGAATCTGGCATCTATTTTCCTCTAAGCCTTCATTTAGAGCTTCCGGATGGCAAAATTGTCTTATTTATTATTACTAACTTGAATCAGTGAAATAGCCTCTAGCAGGGATACTCTTCTGTGACCTTGACCTTTGAGCAGCCTTGTATCGTAAGATGAACCACAAATAGGGAACTGATAAGCCTCAAAACATTTCAAAACATCTTGGAAGTTAGCACGCAAGATGTGCGAAAAAGTGCCAAGTTTGAGGTCAATTTTGAGCGTGACATTGACCTTGACCTTTGATTTGGAGCACATTTTCAGAATCCTCAGATTCTCTTCTTTCGTTTGACACCCAATTTTGCCGGTTTGATGCAGCCTGCCGTCCTCTAGAATGCTTACTTTGAGATCACTACACATGTGCCGGTTTTGGCCTTTGACCTTGACCTCTGACCTTGAAAATTGACCTGAGGTCAAAAATTTTGGGTGCATTAGAATCGTCTCGTAAGGACCTTTCGTTTGGTATCGCTTTTGTTTCCGTAGCTCCCTTATTTACGGAGTTAGACAGGGGGGGGGGGGGCGAAAAACGCCCCCCGGGCTGCGGTGGTTGGGATTACCCCCCGGGCCCGGCCGGGTTAAGTGTCTGGTGAGCGTCGGTCCCTTTACAACCCATGGGTTATGTCCCTCTAAAATAGGCGATTCGTAAAAGCATATGGCAATGCATAAAATGGTTGGAAACCCATGATTGCTGATAGCGATGATCGGATGTCAGACGTTGCTTTTCGCGTCTAGTTCATTTTGAATTGAAGAGGTAACTTGAAATGCAATATCGGCAGTTAGTAAATGGCTAACGGTTAGGTGCTCTACACTGATCGGACATAGGTGTTGGGTCGGACTGCCAGTTTTGGCCGCCATATGGGAATAATGCTTGCCCGTTGGTACGACAAGCATTTTTTCAAACCTAGACCGTACACCGTAGGTTAGACCTAGACCTAGACCGTAGGTTAAATATGTTGCCAAAACATGAACACATAGAGGTGAAAGTCAGTGAGTGCTGCTTTAGTTGCAAGTCATGATGCATGTCTACCGTCACGCCAGGGTAGATGTCGCCCCAACCAGTCAAAGTCCCGCCCAAAACCACTCCGATTACTGGTCAAAGTGCATTACATTACAAACGCTGTATTAGTATAAATTATCAGTGGGGTAGAAGCGTGCTCCTCGCACGTGACACAGGCACACATACATTACACATTACACGGCACTAGCTAACATCAGCACACCCATTGCACGAAACATGAGCTGCGGTTCCGGGAAACGGGAACCTACTCACTGAGTCCAACTCACGGAACTCACGGCTAGGAAGACGGAACGAGACTCGTCTGAGCGTTTACAATCACGGTTCTGTCACGATCAAGGCACGAACGGACACAGACTGATGGAAGCGTCGGCACGGGAGCACGGATCACGGATCGTGCCGGCTGCACGACTAACCGATCGGCCTGTGAGACATCATTGGGTTACCGAGTTTCACGTTCCGGGTAGGTCACAATCGATCACGGTCGGAGCGCGGGCGGTCGCTCCGCGATCACAGATGGCGCTAGGCCTGTGGCAGGACCACGGCGGGCGTCCCCAGCGGCGCCGCCTTCGGTGTCACCCCGGCTATGACGGGCCGGGTATCGGCGCGGCCGGCCGCCGGCAGGGCCGTGGGCCGGGCCACGCCGGTCGCCGGCGCTGGCCGTGCTTCCTGCGTCGACTCTGGAGAGGTGGGAACGTCAGCCGCCGGCCCCGCGGGGGGCTGGGTGGCGGCGTCAGCCCCGGAGACGGGCCCGTTCGGCAGCCACTTGCGGATGGTGAGGCGCACCAGGCCGTCCGGCTGCTTCTTCAGCAGGTTCCAGGCCTCGATACGCGCCATGTGCGTGATGTCCTGATCGTTGATCGCCAGGATCTGGTCTCGCACGTGTAGAAGGCCGCTCTTGTCGGCAGCCCCGCCTGTCGAGAGGGGAGGGACACTGTCAGCGCCCTCTGTCGTGAGTGAATGTCAGCATCATCATGTCGTAGGACATAGACATAGACATATATTAAGGCGATCCACAGTGCTTGTGGCTATTACCACCTCTCGTCAAAGATACAAAGTCATAAAAAGTATGGGGTGGAACATACACGCACACAGGTGAATGGGTCAAATCGATAAAACGTCACAGTACGGTATAAAAGTAAACATTAGTCCGGTGGTTCAGATAGGTAACGTTTGAGGTGGTGAGGGAACACGGTCACAGGTAGCTCAGTCAGTATCGATGGTAGTGAGTTGAAGAGAGCAGGACCGCGACAACAGAAGCGCCTCTTCCCCATTTCGGTACGTGACCGGGGCACATAGAGGTCGCGGTCCTGGCGAGTCGTCCTGGTCAGTGTCCCCAAGGCTTCGCGCCTATTTGCCACAGTAACAAAGCCCTTGGCTAAAGCTTGGGGCTCGCCGTGATTGCGCACCTTGTGTACGAGACAGAGAGTGTGATAAGATGCCAGCTTCTCCGCGCTGAGCCAACCCAGCTCCTCAAGCAGGTGCGATACATGGTCATGCTTTTTGCTGCCGAAAATCATTTTTGCCCCATAATTTATAACTTTCTGAATTTTGGCAAGGTTCTTCTTTGAGCCGTTGCCATACACCGTGATACAGTAACGGACCTGCGAGATGACCAGAGCGTTGACCAGCACGGAGAGGACGGACGATGGCAGGCGGCTCCTTAGATGTGACAGACCACTGAGTATGCCGAAACAGCGTCGTATGACTGATGCAACATGAGTGTCCCAACTCAGCGTGCGATCAAACATGAGGCCGAGGTTCTTTGCTTCCGAAATAGGTGAAATGTTGTGATCGCGGAATTTTACCGTAAAACTTGGGGCATTGCGCAAATTTTGGCTGCTTCCCAGCAACATCAGTTGAGTTTTTCAGCGTTTACTTTCAAGCCGTTAGTACGAAACCATCTGTCAAATGAGGCCAATGTGTTTTCCATCTTCTGTATTACGTTAGAATTTAGATAACTCTGTACTTTTGCCACTAACCAAAATTTGGGTGTCATCAGCGTACTGTACTTGGATTGTCAATACCGCCGTCAAGGGATTATCAGCTCCGCCTGATGTAAGAGAGAAGAGACTTAGCGCTCCCCGTCGTGCTGGTCGCGGGGGATTTTCAGAGCCATCTGTAGTGCGACGGTGAAAGGAGAGGCTGCTGGTGCCATCTCAAAACTGCCAGCGCCCTCTGTCGCAGGAGACCATCAGCGCTAGGTGACGACCCGTGCCAGTCGAGGGGGATGGTCAGAGTGGGAGCGGGGCTGTGCTCTCAGTGCATCTCCAGTAGGGAGTTGTAAGCGCCCCCTGTGGTAAGTGGCGAATGCTGACGCAGTCTGAACAAAAGTGAAGCCAAGTGATCGCTAGGGCAGCCCCAACCGGACTGTTGTACATATAGTGTCTGTAACTTCACCGACAGTCACTCCTGGGCTGGCAGCCACTCCCGAAAGCAGCACACCCCTTCGGAGAGGGCCCCTTTGAGTAGCTGTGTGACCTGGTTCCACCGGAGCACTCCCTTCTCCACCAGATGGGTTAACGGTTGAACTACTGCTGCGCACCAGTCGGTGGTCAACTTGGCCTAGTGTTTCCCCCTCCTCTAATCCCACGGCCCAAAAATGGTCTCAATAGACTGAAAGAACCTAACCCAACAAAAACAACACAAACAAACGACAATATGAAATCATGGCCGAACGCCGCGTGTAAGCATTTGCCACGAACCACTTACTTTTGGCATTTACTAGACGTCGTACCCACTGCCCGGGACTACTACACACGAAATTTAGCGGATTATAGCTATAGCATTTTCCTCCTTTTGGTTCCCGGAGAAGCGAGTGATATCACGACGGGCAGGGAACGTAAACATAACAAAGCAGCTGGTGGTAAAGGAGCACTTTTACTAACAATTACAGTTGAAAGTCAGTACCTGCTCCAGGGGCTTTGATGTCGCCCCGTTTAGCAAAGCCTATGAAAACGTTCCAACATCGTTATGCATCTGCATGCGTACCTGTGAATATCTTTTTGGCCACCAGCGGTCGGTCTCCCAGAGGCGAGTCCTTGCCACCCTGAAGGCTGAAGCCAAGGCCGGCGCCCTCCTTCTTCAGCGAAATGGTCACCGGAGGACCCCGGAACTCGTCCTCCTGCGCCAGCTCTGCCAGAGGTCAGGCCGAGGTCAAGAACAGGCCAGACAGAGGTCAGAAGGACGTCAGATTATGGGTCACTTACAAGTCGAAATACAATGGTCAAACGAGTGTCCAATAATGGTGGCACCGGCATCAACACATGGAGGTCACACACACAGGGGCAAACGTTATGAAAAGAGGTCAAACGAAGGCATTACGAGTATATTTGGTTGGCATGGGGGAATTACGATCAATCTTAGTCAGTTGCAGGTCAGGTAATGGTCAGTTGTTTGTTGTTTTGTTGGGTTAGGCCCTTTCGGTCCAATGAGACCATTTCAGAGCCGGAAGGATGATAGGATATAGGGGGAGACATTGGTCTGGGAAGGCACCCTAGTGAGTCACCGGGGCTGAGCCCGTCCAGAGGACAGGCCACCCAGCCCCAAGGCACTCACTGCACCCGGCTACGGGGTGCGCTCCCTCAGGAGCAGCGGTGCCGCTCCAAGGGAGCAGCCCGCATGAGATAAAGTTGCCTGTCCAGCCCGGAGAGGGGTTGCGGCGTGGAGGAGAAGGATTTCAGTATCCTGAGGATGTAATGGTCAGAGGTAAAATTGCGAGACCAATAGCAGATTCAGAGGCGGGGGGGAGGGGGGTTGAGCATATGGAATCGTATACGGGAGAACACATGCGCCCCCTCCTCTCTCCGTTTCACTGGATGGTTCAGAGGGGAGGCTTTCATCGGAATTCATGAGACAATTATTTACACTCAATAGTCAGTAGCTAACGCGCTGAGCGATGATGGCCGCGGCTATATGTAAGAATCTTGACCGCGGCGGTGTGCGATTCCTTATCTCGAACTGGTCCTGTTGAGCCGGCTACAGCAAGATAGAGCAATGAGAGTACTCCACACAAAGCTAACCCCCATTGCAGAGGTTGTCCAAGCACCTCGCAGGTCGCTAGATCAGACCCATCACACGTCACCCCAGCACACCATCCACATAGAGTGTCACAGTCGAGTCCCTGGCTTATGGCTAGTGCTGGCCACCAGGAGGCGGGCCCGCTCGACGCACTACTGACGCTCCCATGACTGACAGATGTCGCTCGCGGTGCGTCCCAGCGCAGCAGCTGTACCGCTGAACCGGTCCGCGGAGATTGTGCCCGAATTAAGGCCAGCCGGGATGAAATCTCAGCTGAGACGACATGTCTCAGCGCTACGTGAGAGCGCATTACTAGCGCGGATGATGGTTGGTGGTCGGTTGTGTGCGGCGAATGAATGGTTTGTCAAACGCAGACCTTGACAGACTCTAATGTCGTCATCTCGATTTTGCGAGGTGAGATGAATCCAGAAAAACAATTTTGGGCTTCAATCTCAAACATTCGTCCATTGAAGTATTTCCGTATACCGCAGCGTGCAAAATATTAGCCGGACATCCATAACAAATCCCTTTAGGGTCATTCGCATGACAGATATCCACTAAATATAGATGGAACCCATGTTGAACCATGCTCCGAATTTAACCCTCGGCACGGCGCGCCATAACTCTGCAAATACGGCTGGTCCGCCGCATCTTATCCGTGCTAAGTCCAGCGCAACATGCTCCAGCACGGCCTGAGTCACCCGACATGGGCAGACACTCTCCGCACCGCTCATAAGGCGTAATTACATGGTCATGGCAGTGCCCAGCCAGCGTGGATACAAAGGGAGGCGCGTTTCGGGGTGCAGTGAGCGACTCCTTTTCGAGGCCCGCTGCTGCCGACCTGAAGCTTGTACCAAATCACCCAGGCAGGTACACTCGGCAAATTATATTCGTAGAAGCTTAATTATGGCAGCAAACCATTTGGTGCAAGGCAAAGAGAATTGCAGACTACCTAGGTAGATATTTTGGTTCAGGAGGCTTCTGATCCGAGTTTGTCACGTTGCACTTACCGGAGGCTAGGCTCTTGCTGTCCATGGGGCTCTCGAGGATCTTTGGCGGCCGGCTGTACATGGTGCTGATGGAGGGCCGCTGATCCTCTGAGTTCGGATCGTGCGGAGTCACCGAGCGTGACCTGGACAGTACCAGGACGACCTCTGCGCGCGGCGCCTGCGGGCGGGTCAAACAGAGCGCAGTCAGGGACGCTGAGAGGACGGGCGGCACTCCTGGGGTAGGTATTACGGCCGCGGCGAGATTAGGTGGAATACACATTACACAGGTGGTCGGCGGACCGGGGCACAGGTATACTGACCGGCAGCGCGCAGACAGACAGGCGCTGAGAAAGGCAAACAGGACAGCACCGAGGCACAAGAGGCGGTCAGTGCCGCTGTGAGTCGGCACAGTGAGGCAGCGCTGCGAGACAGAGGCAAACACACTGAGACACACAGCAGAATTGAAACAGCTGTGTCAGCCATCACTTGAGACATCCTCGGACCTCACAGTCGTGACAGGCACACAAACACTGCCCCCTCCCCCTCCGGTCCCCTCCGCCGCCCACGCCGGCGGGCGGCTCGTTAGAAGGCAGCTGGAGTCGGTTCACGACCTCCACCCACCGCCCACGACTGGGACGCACGGCGCCCCTCCCGGCCGCTGATAGTCAGACGGTGACTGGTCAGTTCCAGCACATCGGCCACGGGCGCGAGCGCGCACCTGAGGCAGAACACAGCCGCACCGAGTCGACCGGCCGACCTTGCGGCCCGCGCGGCACCTGTGCGGCGGCAGCCCAGGTCCGGCTCGACACGCCAGGGTATAGCCAAATGAAGCGGCCCAATTAACCCCAGCGCCAAACATGACCGTTGCTGGGTGACACGGAGTTCCACTTGGATTTTTAACAGATGAGCTATGCGGATACAGGAAAGGTTACTCAGCTGGCGGCGAATGAGTGCGATTGTGTTGTGATTGTGGCCTCTCAGAGCTGGACGTATGACGAATGTCGGTGCATCCCTCCAAACCGCTGGAGAGTGGTTAGAAAACAGCATGCTGCTGGGCAAAGTCCGTGGTCTGAAGAGTTCACTGAAGTACGGAAAGCAGTCGCAACGGAAGAAGTCAGACGTCTGTGTTTAAACAAAACCGAATCTTCATGTATTTACAAAGGCATTCATCTCATCTATGCAAAGGTCATGCACTTGCACTTCGTTAGTTGTGCAAGCTAAAACAGCATAAAACTATATATAATTCTGTCATAAAGTTAGGAAAATATGCGAACGTTCGTTAATAAAAACTTGCATGCAGCTAATAACGCTACCCCTAATAACATCTCCGAACCTCTGCCACACCATATCTGCGCATCAGTCTGTTGCTCCCTCTCACTTGTCCACTTATCCGGAGTACAGTGTTACTGTCCAGTGTTCACTATGTCCAGCGTGCTCAAACGAACACACACGAGTTTTGAACTGACCTTGAGCGTGTTGAGAGCTTCTCGGTGGGACATGCCCTTGGACGACCTGCCGTTGATGGAGATGACGCGGTCTCCCTTCTTGATCCGTCCATCGCGGTCAGCCACCGAGCCGGTGATCACCTTGTTCACCTGCAGCCGATCGAACGGGCAGCGGTCAGCCGTCGGAGGGAGAAAGGGGCATCGAACACGCATCTCGACTGAATCGGAAGACAACGGAATGCACATACATACGTACATTACGAATGTAATGTCATAGATCTGCTGAATATATACTGATGGATGCAGGTGTCTTGCAGCAAAAATGGATACATATAGCTAATAGCGGCATGTAGACATATCACTGCATTACTTTTGTAAATAGTTTTCATCGCATTGCATCGTACCACGATGAATAAAATCGTAAAAATTCATCCATACAATGACATGGTCTATTTGCAACACTGAAGAATAAAGTTTGATCCGCGATCGTATCTAGAAGCCGGTGAACTATAAATCGTCAGGATATATGTAATCCTGCTTAAATTGGACGGTTCTCGTGCAATACAAAAGGACCAAATTGCTAGCAATGTTTGTTGTCTTTTCGGAGACATCAAACAACTAAAACATCTCCATTCATGTCTGGTAATCGGTAGTTTTCCGGTGTTCGACAATTGCAGTGCCCTGCCGAGCCACTGTCCAATAATTCGGTACCATGGCTGAAACAGGCCACACAATGGGCTGTGGCAACTGCACAAACATTCCATTGTGAATTATCGTCGCACGGTGATGCTCGCACCGCGTGAAGGTAAGCCCAGGACATTCAACAACAGTGGACAATACGTGTTTACCGAAGTGCATGTTGCGTGAAAGCGATTCGTGCCATGTCGCACTAGCGACAAATTGGTGGTGGTTTAATCTCAGGCGAGGCAAGTTTTATAGGGCTGTTGGAGGTAAAATATGAGACGGTCGCGCGAGGCTATACCATTTATAGAAGACTGACTAGGCAGTTAGGCTGCTCCCTCTTGGCTTTTGCAGATGGGTTTATCGCAAACCAAGCACATCTGATCATCATAAAAGGTTCATTGCGCCCTCCTCTCACGTCGTTCTACTCGTTTCTGCAGAGAACTGAACGACCCGCAGAAAATCGCAGCACGTCGTGCATGCAAACTCCGAAAAATATATAATCCAATATTTTGTGGCTATTCAGCTTTGTAAGAGCATCAATGGCAAAAGGGCAACTGCATCTGCAATGATCAAATATTGAGGCGACGCGATAGCGGCATGCGACCTCGCGGATTTTGAAATAACGATAATGTTATAATTACGATGGACTATGGAGGAAACAACATTGATTTTAGCTACCAAGTGAGCTCATTACTAAAATACAGCTATTTAAGATGGAATGGGTACTGCCGTTGATTTTAACTACAAAGTGAGATGACGTTTTGATGTCACTTTAGCATAAATGATGATCCCAAGCAGATCACAAAAGGTAACGTTCACTAACTTCTCAAATACGTTGAACATCGACAAAATAGAGAGGGTAACAGATGCTCGAGCCCCACAGGGCCGACGTACCCAGAGACCAGCACCATTCTCCGTGAGAAGCCTGGGAAGCGGAAATGGTCGCGGGTAGTTCTATTTGCGGAAAAGACCGGTGGCAGGTGGTTTAAAAGAATTGACCGCTGTATCCATTCCTCACGCGTCGCTCTTAGGCTAGTGTTAACATGACTCAGAGCAGTAGTACAAAATCCGTTGGCGGAAAGCCTATCAGGAAGTCAATGTTGTTAGCAAGACTGCGTATCTCGGACCGAGCAAGTGTACAATCACAAATGCGACAGGTCACTTCCCTACAGTAAAATTGGTTTTAACCTTGAGTTACTACTTATCTACGCTTTTGGAATCTACGTAAGTTTCTGTGCGTGGCTGAGACTGTGGCACAGAGCACCTGTTCATGGGTGTCGAGCTACCAAACCTGTCAACCTGTATTTAAATCAGAACGATATGGTTACAGCGTTTTACGTGCACATTCTTTGGGACAAGTGCCAGCGATATTGGATCGTAAATAGGCAGTGATCCATTTTTGATAGATATGACTGTAAACAAATACATGTCAACAAAACGTACCATATTTAATGGTAAATCGATGTTACTAGTGTAAATCAGAACTTGCATCACAAGATACGATTTATGTGTATGCCACCATGATTGTGGCACAACTATACCAGTCTAGGGGAAGAAAATAATGCAACCCAATGGAGCAATCGCGCTGTACAGAATGGATTACCTATAAATTCACTTGACAGCTGATCCAGTGGACTGATAAATAGGTACCATAACCGGTTGCCGCTGCCCTCGACACCTATCAAACATGCCGACAACTCGCGCAGCAACGAGACATTACATAACAGGCCGATTGCATTTTTAATGGCAGAACAGGGATTAGGGAATCGGAGCGGGTCCAGGATGCATTGAGTTTAAAGTGTGTATCAATGTCATTGTTTCAGTAATTAGCGAAAATAAGAATAATTTCAAAATAATTTCAACGAAAATAACACAAAAATATTCCCTTCATTTTGTTCAATAAATAGACGACTTAAACGTCTCATAGACCACGCAGTGTGTAACAATTTAATTATGCGTAGTTAAAACAGATATCAGGATTTCTTCAAATTTCTTTTTCGCAAAAATTAAATAAATTAGACATGCGTGATATCTAGCTAGCGCATAGAAAACATTAAACGAAAGAGCATTTGCTTTTTATCTCGTAAAAGCACGCCAACTGTCAGATTCGAACCAGCGACCCACCGAAATTTCCTTGTTCTCGTAGTCGGCGCCTCCGGCCAGCGTGACGCCGATGCTGCCTCCCATCATCTCTCGGTGGATGACGGCCACGATAATCTCGTGAGAAGGCGTGCCGGACTCCTCCAGCGACTGGTTGGCCTCGTCAATCAGCTGCTGAAGCTCCTGTGGGCCACACAAAGTCAGTGTTCACTCGCAGTGTCATTGCCAAAAACTACAAGGAGATAAACAGCATACCTACATGTATGTAGCGACACATCATTTCAGCGGAACGAAACATTCATTATTCATTCAACGTGGCGATGATATGAAGTGATATGAAGTGTAGAGGTTAATAAGTCTGGACCAGCATAGTGAGGTGGCTATGTGCTGAACTTGAAACCACTACCGCAGCGTCACTGCGCTGCCGCCCGGTAGCCGTCTGTCCAGTGTCAGCTCGGTAAACGTCTTCCCGCGGTGTGGTGAACACCAGACCGGAAAAGGGGCGGTGCGTGCCTCACAACTGGTCGGAGAATGCCGCCGACCAGCTCCATGGCGCTCACGGGACAGACGACCGGTGGTGTGACAGGCGACGCGAGCCGGCCGCTCTGGAGTTATCGTGGATACGGGCACACAGTGTGTCTGCGCATAGTATGAGTACAGTTGAGTTTAAACGAATCCTGAATGAAAAGCATGCGTTTCAGCTCGCTCGGTGGTCTAAAAAAGAAACTGAAGAGTACTAACAATGAATTAGTTTACCGTATTACTGTGATATATTAGCGTCTCTGCGTAACTACAGTGTAATGCTACAGTAAGGACAAATCCGCTGTCTCGCTCCTCAAAGCGCATTCGTGGTGGGAATTCGCACGATTATTAGTGATGCTTCTACCTTACAGACTTCATTCGTTACTCGAGAGACTTAACCTATAATTTTGCTGTGTAATTATGTCAACCCTGAAAAGAAAGAAAAATGCTCACGAGGTCGACGCTTCGCTACGGATGGTAGCTTTCGCGGCGAAATGCACTACCATTAAAAGTTCCTTTCTCCGAGTCACTTCCCAAGTGCATTTGTCAATGTATGACCTCACATCCGGGCTGAGAAAGCAGTGGGAAGCGGCGTAGAGAGCAGAACCAATCGAGTGCTACTGCTCCGGGAGCAGCCTGACACGGCACCACGGACCACCGGGCACGCGGCAGCACGGAACTATCGGCTCTGCACACTGCAGTGGGCTCGCGGTATTCCGGCAGAGAACCGAAAACCAACGGACTTATTCCGCCCGAATTAGGCCTAAACCATTAGCCCCAAGGCCGCCGTGAACGTGCGCCCATTTCAGTACGCCAGGAGACTGTGTCGGTAACGGGAGAGATGATGCATGCTGTGTCCATATCACGAATGACGGTTTGAGTCATCGAATTTGGTATTCAATGCATTTGGCTCTGCTCATGCATTTGGCTTGCAATGCGTCACATTTGATATTCAAAACGTACCGGCTAGATTTATCTTATATTTTTTACTGCAAAAGGCATCGAGGCGCACGGAGCCAAGGTTTCGTGCCAGACTTTATAGCAAAAGTTTTGGTTCGACGCCATAACATTTTGTCGCTAAACACGCTGCTGGAAAGGTGCAGGTAAATACTCGTTTTGTTTATAGGTAAAAGCAAAGCTGATAAAAGGTCGCACTTGCACAAACAGCGCTTGTGTTCACAATGGGCTTTCTGTCCCATTCACAGCACGCATCACACACGGGCGCTGGGTGTCGTGTCCTGTCCTCTGGTATCCAGAGACCATCTGTTGCCGCCCACGGGCGCCGCGCCTGCTACCAGGGGAGTACCAGCAGCCCCGCCGCCCGAGTGGCGTGACCCACAGTACGGGGCGGGGACACGGGCCGCCCCTCGGTGAGGACACGCGCCGGGCGGTGCCGCTCGCCGCTCACACCGGCCGGATGGGCCCGGCCCAGTCGGGGACGGGGTGGGGAGCCGACAGCGGGCGTGGGCCGCCCGGATGGCACGGATGTGGGCCCCGCCCGGCGGAACAGCCGGCCCGCCCGCCCGTCCCGTCAGCTGCCCGGCCACCAGCCGACCCAGAGCGGTGAGATTCACGCAAAGACCAAGACATTGTTCAGCAGGCAAGTTGCAAATATAAAGTCAGACTAAAGAAGTGCGAAGTGCCACCCCTGACCGTCATTACCGACCCCGTGAAAATCCACTACTACAATATATCCAGCCAGAATGAGAAACCCAGCCTCCCTCTCATGTAAGGCGCGCTATTGTAACACAACGCGCAAGAACCGGTATATGGGATTCACAGGTATACAACTGGACATTGAATGGCTGTTTTACATGTCAGGAACGAGTGCAAATGAAACATAAATGGAAAACGGGTGCGACTGTTTCAGCATCGCCCGCTGATGTGCTATTGAAGAGCAGCCGATGGTGATGAAGGATCCTGCATACGAAGCGCGATATTACACAGCGCCCGGTTATTATCTCCCACGTGCGTCATCACGCCGGTACACATGGCCCACATCCAGTCCGCGATCCTCTCAGCACGGGATCAGAGGTCAGCGGCGACCTCCTGAGCCCACAGCTGGCTCACGCGAGCCCGATTAAGCGGTCGGCCGCGCGAGAGCCGGCGCCGCGGCGAAGACAGCGAGAGCGGGCCGCACAGCGCACGGCTCCGTGGAAAGCTACCTACCGACAGCGGCGGACGGAGCGGCCTGAGAGGTATGCCCGACAGCTGATCTGCAATGCAGAGAGGCCGGCGGCGTACAAAGCCCTCGAGAGTCGGCGGCCGGCCCGGTGGGAAGGCAGCGGACGATCGGGGAGCAGCCGGACGGAGGAGAGCGCGCGCGGCCAGTCTCGCGACAGATAATGTCGCCGCTGATGTGTGCAGCGCGCAGCCGCGGCCAGTCGGCATCTGCAGCCAGCCGTGCAGGCCAGAGATTGCCGGTCAGCTGACCGCCGGCCGCCTGGACCGCCGATATACGGTCGTCCTCGTCACGGCCCGACAGCAGACCGGTGCGCCACCAATGTCCGCCCGTGCGACACGCGCGGCGGCGCAACTGTGAGACTGGTTGCCATGGCTACTTGGTTTTGGCTTAGGGCGTGACTTGTTCGTCTGCGCTTGTGTGCTGTTTCTCGTGTAGTGTAGTGTGGTGGCTACACGGCACACGCTGCGCTGAGGAGGTAGCGCAATCAGCGGCGCAGAGAAACCTCGGTTAACGAAGCGGCACGGGAAGTTGTTCATTACCTACTGACTTTCGACTTGAAGATGGTATCTAAATGAGTTTCACTCTTACCGGCAGTGAAACTAGCGATAACTATGCATTACTGGGGTCCATAGCCACGCATTACAGATATCACCGTTTACCCTTTCCACTTGGAGATCACAATCACACTAAACTGCTTCACATTGTTGCATTCTCTCTTACATTGACTGCTGCGTAAAACGATCGGAAAATAACACAATAGCATCCTTTAGCCGCTATTAATAGAACGGCGACCGTAAGACGATCCATGCACATGTGTTTTGTTCATGACCATCTATCATGTCTGATGTAAGGGTGTATCTGGTCCACACATGAAATAAGGTGTTTGATGTAACTGAATGCCCCAGGTCTGTACTCACATGAGGCGAGATGAGGCTGGTGGATGAGGCCAGCGACGTGATGCTGCCGTAGTGATCCCTGGCCGTGGTCGGTGACGCCGTCGAGCCGCCGGTCAGGTGGCCGTCCTCGCTGGCGCTGGAATCCAGCGACGACATGCGCGTGTGTCCCGAGTTGCCAGAGTGCGGCCGGCCGTCCCAGCGCTCGAACGCTCGCCGCAGGTCACTGACACTGAGCGCGTGCCGCGAGCGGGCCGTGCTCTTCAGGTTGGCGGTCAGCATCTCCAGGAGGCTGCTGGTCGAGCCGCTGGGCGACTTGGCGCTCTCCAGCGAGTCCATGATGTTCTCCTGGCTGGAAGCCACGCTCGGCGAGCGTAGGTAGCCGCCCAGCTCCCGCTCGCTCTCCATCCAGCTGTGGGGACGAGAGGGCACCGAGTCTTTCTTTTCGCGCAGCTGCAGATCCGGCGAACTGTAGCTGGGCGTACTCAGCTTACGGTCCAGCCCGGAGCGGTCCTGGAGAGAGGGCCACTCGCTGTCTAGTGCCGGAGAGGATACGTCAGCTGGGGCGTCAGTGACGTCCAACGGGGAATCAGTGATGTCGTTCAGAGAGCTGGTGGTGACTTCGGCTGGAGAGTCGGTGACATCAACAGAAGAGCTACTGACCTCAGTGGTCTCGCTGGTGTCAACAGAGGATGGAATGCTGAGTGACGAAGGCAGGGGAGAGATTGAAGACGGAGGGGACCGCACAGAGGAAGCAGGCGACTCTGCCACATCTTCTGAGCGAGTAGATGCTGTCCTCGGTGAAGTCGTCTCCGTCCCCTGGCTGTCGGCGTTGAGCTGCTGCCACTTTTGCTTCAGCGACGTCACCTTGGTCACCTGTCGGAGCTTAGCCAGGTCGCGGGTCTCGCAACCGGGCGGCGGAGCGCTCGGCCGCCGCTCCCCGGCGAACTTCCTCCAGGCGTCGTCGTCGAGCAGTCGGGGCGGCGAGGGTGACCCGGCGGCGGCCGACAGCCGCGCCTGCTGCTCCGCGTCGCCGGAGCGGCTGTGGAACCTCTCTGCAGCGCGCAGCAGTTCCTCCTCCACATCCAGTTCCTTGACTGGCGATCCGTGCAGGGTGGACGTGCTGGCGCGGTGGTCGAACTCGAGGCTGCCGGCGCGGCCGCGGCCGGCCAGCTCCGGCTCCTCGCTGTCCGCCGGCTCGTTGACCAGCGTCAGCGTGGACCCGCCACAGTCCGAGTCGGCTGGCTCCAGACGACTGCGGAGGTCCGCCGCGTCGTCGTCGGAGATCTTGCGGCGCAGCTGTCCGAGGGCGCTCAGCGGGCGAGAGTTGAGCGAGCTGCTGCGCTGCAGCGGCTCCGAGCTGTCTGCCAGACGCGGCCGTGTGGTGCGCGGCTCACTGCGCCGGTCGGCGGAGCGAGGGTCGCGAGGGAGGGGCGAGGTCCGAGCCAGGTCCCGGCGAGAGGGGCGCGACAGTTCGACCGAGGAGCCACCCAGCTGCGAGGAAGTCGACACCAAATGGAACGCCGAGCCTGAAGAACCAGATGACGAAAGCACCGAGATGTTCTTCCGTTTGAAGGCTGGCGAGTATTTCTGCATGTTTGGAGACTCTGACTTCCAGGGCGGAGAGGAGAGCTGATGATCGACTTTCTCCGATCTCGGGGTCGCCGTCGGTCTTGGTGATACCGCAGCAGATGCAGTGCCCGAGACGCGGAAGCTAGACGAACTGAGCGAGGAGAGCGCCTTACTCTTGATGGTCGGTAGGTCGACCGGGCCCTTCTTCGCCAAGCCATCCACCTTGTCCGGAATCACCAGCCCGCGAAGCCGAGACAGACTCCGCTTTCGCTCTTCAGTGATCGAGTTCAGAGACACTTTTCTCGTGAGGCTGCTTGAGTGACCGGAGTAGCTGAACTCCCTCTCCTGTAGGCCGGCGAAGCTATGCCTCTTCTCCGGCTGTCCCAGGTCGAGCAGGCTCTGTGAGCGCTCGGAGAGGGGTCCGGGCGAAACCTCTCGGTACCGACTGGGTCGCTCTGAGAGGCTGGTCACAGAGTCCGAGTGTAACGAGCTCAGGGTGCCGCACTCAGAGGCTCCCCGCAGAGGTCTCTGGCCCAGCGGAGGCCGGCTGCGCTGGGGAGTCACCGGGCTCTCATCGTTTGGTTTAAATCGGTCACCGGGTTTGGTGTCTCCACTAGGTACTCGGCTGTCGCTTTCTCTTCGTTCACCGAGATGCATGTTGAGCATGCTGCCAAAACGGGGTCCGCGTCCCTCCGCGATTCGCTTCCTCCTCGCGAGGACATCTCCAGGGCGGCTTCTCGCAGACTCTGTCTCCGACAGTTTGAGGTCTGACTTCGATCGAGCCTGGGAACGAAGAGGACCGCGTGTTGGCAAGTCGTTTTCCAAGCTTTTGTGTTTAAGAAGCTTCGGATGTGGCTGGGAAAGCTGCTCCACAGACTGGCTCGAAAAGAGCGCAATTTTGTCTTTGACGCTCGTCTGGCCCCGAGGACTCCTTCCTCCGAGCAGGGATCTCCCCCCTGTCCTCTGCAGGTCGTCCATACTCTGCCGTTCCCGGGCCGTCGCCCGCCTGAGCAAACTGGAACTCAGCTCACTCTCACCAATCCTGGAGGTGGCCCCTCCGAGCGATCCCGACCGGTGGTTCCTGCCGCGGGTGGCAGTGCTCAGTCCTCGACTGTTCTCCGCGACCGACGGGCTGTCGGCCTTCTCAGCCGTCGGCGACGCGCCTCTATCGCTGTACCTGGACGGCGGCCGCAGCAGCGCCGGAGTCGTGGACGGCGTGGCACTGCTCGGCCGCCGCTCGGCAAAGTCGGGTGGGAACTCGTGTCCGTCGGGCGGCTGACGGGCGCCCGACGGCGGCGGCGGGCTCTCGGGACTGCTGTCCCGGCAGCGGCCGGCGCTCGGCGCCCCCCTGGGCCGCTCCCAGTCCGAGTCCTCGCTGCTGGCCGGCCGCTCTGGGTCCGTGTCGCCGCCGCCGCTCCAATGGCGACCTCCGAGCGGGCTGAGCTCGTCTTGGGCAGACGCCTTTCGCCGGCGCTCCACCGACGAGCTGACCTCGAACGACATCGAGCCCTGGTCTGCAACAGAAGGAAAGGTACCCGTCAGAGGGACGTGTTGGGTCAAACAGGTGTCGTCGACGTCGCTTTATGGCTAAAATAATAAACCGGGTAGAGTTAAAAACCAGTATAACGCCTTTTGTGGCGACTAACGGAGCGAGCGAGAGGGTGAGCCTTGCACGTGCGAAATTTCGAGGGGGTACCTCCAGCTAACTTGTGCACGGCACCCTACTAGCCGGTCTTTAGCGATGTGCCAAATTTGAGCACAATCGGCCCAGCCGTTCTCGAGATCTGGAAGCGGCACCCTGCACGTGCGCACGTGCAAAATGGGTCCCAACTGACTTGTGCACGGCACCCTACTAACCGGTCCCTAACCATGTACCAAATTTGAGCGCCATCGGTCCAGCCGTTCTCGAGATCTGGAATCGACCCCTGCACGTGCGCACGTGTAGCGGCACCTCAACTCTGGCACATGGATATGCATTGCATAGTGGGTGCCTACCTACATGCCAACTTTCAGCGCAATCGGCCAAGTAGTTACCGAGATATTGCAACAATTGCAAAAGTGACACCTCTTCGTTTTGCACGTTGCACGTGCATAAGGGGTCACCCACATGCATCGGGAATAGTCCAATACTTGGTAGAAGGAATGAAGCTACCCTACAAAAATTACCGCATGTAAATCGGTCAAGTGGTTGCTGAGATATAAGCCTCGCAAAAGCGTGACCACGGCCGGCCGGCCGGCCGGCCGGCCGGCCGCTCATACTCAGAAATTTCCGTTAATCTAAGGAAAGACTACGCTCGCTTCGCTCGCTCCGTAATTAAAATTGTAAGTGTACACGATTCATCCAGAACACAATGCAAAAATGCAAAGAATTTCAGTCATTTCTTGGAATCTGAAATTGTAGCAATACACATGGGCTCGTGAGCATATCGACGAAAAAATGCGACGCAGAACCTACCAGATAAAGAAATAACTGCGTTAACTCAGTTTCTGAAATAATCTAAGAAAACCAAAATCGATCAACCATCCCACGCATACTACGCCGTCCTCACGAGTATCATTCTCTACGCTTCAGCCACCTACACGGCCTGCCCATAGGCACATCTGGCGTCAGCCACAAATATCCCATTCCTGGCGCCAGGCATAACTCAAATCATCTACCCATTATGGAGATGAGCCACGGCCCACATGAACACAAACGAAGCCATTGTGCGTCCCTCCTCGGAGCGCCATGGCCTGGCCGGCGGAGACGGGGGCGGCGTGGGCACAGAATGCCGGCCGCCTCCCGGCCCGAATTCAGCTCGCTCCACAGAAAACCGTTTGCTCGGGCCTGGCGTGTCTCTGCGGCGTTCATCAGATACGCCCGGCGCCGCCCGGCTGCTGGAGCGCAGCTCTGAGAGACCGACACGCCCCGCCTGACAATGTAGCCGCCGCCGCGGGCTCTGCGGCCGGCGCGGCGCGCGGAGGCATGCCGAGCGCACAGAGACGCGCCGTCAGAGGCCAGTCATCGACTTCAAAGGCGTGTGCTGAACAGCGCTGCAGCGCCGGTCGGCCCGCCCGCGGCTCGCAGATCCAGATCTCAGCGGTCTTTCGGGGGTTATCGCGGACAACTATGGAGTGGCCGAGCCGCAGTAGGCGCGCTTACGAGGCCGTTCACAGGGGCTGCAGGACGGCCATCGTGATCGGCGACATAGGTCGTCAGCCGTGTTTTACAATCGGTCACGTGACGTTCATAATTCAGTCGCGGACACGTCACGTGATGTGTTCAGCGCGTTGGTCGTTCAGTGGCGGCGCGTGACAGCCATTGAGCCTCGAGTAGCAGTCGTGCTCAAGTGGAGAACATTGTCCGACACTCGACAGCAAAGTGGCACTTACCCAAACCGACGTCGGGCGCCTCTCAGGAAGCGAGGAGGGGCTCAGGGTCGGTCCGATGGCCGGCTGGGTGCGCCGCACACCATACCCGGCACGGATCTATCGGGGCCGGTCACAGTGGATCACCATCTGCGCCACAAGTGGCCATGACGGGCCATCAATGCCAATCGGACAGCGGCTGCCGCCCGCCCACACGGCACTACTTGGGTATACGCCACCCGGCGGGTCTCAGAAACGCCAGTTATGTTTGACTGATATCGTATCTACCGATGCGTCGTGACTGATCTGATACAGGTACTGTATCGGAGACCTATTCGAAACTTGTTGCAAATGCCAACGCGCGGCGTCACTGAGATTTGACAAAGCTTAGGCCTGAGTTTATCAGTAAGCAAACAACAGCTCAAAACGATCTCGTGACGCGAATCGTCAGGCTCGAGAAATCCCCATTAGAGCCCGGGCCCGCCACTGCATTGTCGTGAGCCACCTGTCGAAGCCGAGCCCCGGTTCGGGCCAGATTCGGGCTTCGAGGCCAGCAGTCAGTCGTCCCAATCTGCGGCTGCAGCCATCAACCCCACTCCCATCCATCCATCCATCTGCACTCTCCAATTCTCCACCAGCAATCAGTTGCGACCCGACTCCATTTGGCAGTCGGAGCCAGCCGTTGCGCCAGCCCTGCCTCTGGCCGTCCTCCACTAACCGTCCTCCCCTGCCCGTCCTCCGCCGCTCGCCACACTATCACCGGTGCTTATCTGGGCAGGTGCGCGCGCACGCAGATTTACCCGTCGTGCGTGCACGAGCAGGGCCCAACCAGGCCGGACAGCCATTCAGCTGGGGAGGACAGTTCATTCATCAACCTGATCGCCACCTTATTTGGGACGATTGTAGTGAGAACGACGGCCGGCTTACTACAGTTAAAGAAACATAAAGCTGCTTACGTCCGGAGCTCTGTGCAGAACAATCCTGACAAGTTACATTTCTTAGATTTATGCCCACACATGTCATATATTAGATTTATGAGTGACAGCAGCTTTGCAGAATGATGGCGTCACCGGTTGATCCTTCCGGGCCATGCGCGCCGTGTCCGGCTCGGCCGACAGCCAGCCTTCAGCGGATCTCTCTCTGGACAGGGCGGGGATGTCGTCCCTGAGCCACAGCTGGAGGCGGAGAACAGCTGAACATCCACAGCTGGACCTTCAGAGGCGAAACGCGGGCCACCCCGCCTGCACGGCTCCGCCCCTTTCCCACTGCCCCATTAACCACTCAGCCCCGCTGCACCTGTGTTTTCCTGCGGTGCCGCCCGGCCGATCTGCAGGCGGTGCCGTCCCGCCCTGCTGGCCGTCCCTGGCCGCTCTAACGGCCCCGTCTGTTGACGGCCCCGTGACGTGCGTGCGCGGACGGCGCGCCCTGCAGGCAGCCGGCACCGCCCGGCGCCTCGGCACGCCGTGAAAGGCGGCCGTCGGCGGGCTGGTTTTCGGCCCGCCCGCCCGCCTGGCCGGCCGGCTGACCGGCGCGGTGGGGCGGGAACAGACCGGTCTGAGCGGCCCAGCCGGTCAGCGAGCAGTCCCGACCACACCCGCACAGCTCGGCGCAGAGCCGGGTCAGCCGCGGCAAGCACATTCCAGCCGGCCATCCGTCTCCGGCGGCCATGAACGATGGAGCCCGGCGGCGGGCCCGGCCGGCCGGCCGGCCGCGCCGCGCCGCAGCTGGGCCGATGACCTCGGTCGGCGAGCGGCGCGCCGCACTGAGCCGCCGCTCACGGGCCCCGCCAGGTCGGATGGCTCGGCTGTGTCCATCCGACCCAACAGCCTGCAGCCATGGGAATCCGACAGTATTGTCAGCGGTCCGCAGAGCGTGGTCAGCAGCGGCCTCCTGAAAACGACCGCAAACCATCGCAGCACGGCTGAGAAACTCGTCACAGTTCAGGGATGCGTCCTGAGTTCAGGCATCTAAACTCCCGCGTCTCCTGACAGAATTATCCCAAGCCATAGAAAGCAAACGATAGCGGTCCGTTAGGGAAGACGGGAGGCTCGGCACATATCGCCAGTGACCCAGCTGATAGCGGACGGACGCTGCCGCCGTTACGGACGTCTCCCATGCAAACAGCCCGCTGTGGCCCAGGCAGCTAGCGGCTGGTCGGACGGCGGCGGGCGGAGCGGGCCCACGCGCGGCCTCGTGTGCCGTGATCGGCCTGCTGACGGCCCGACCAGCCGCTGACGTGGACCGCCCACTGACCGGACCGGCATACGGTGCCCAGCGGTACTGACCGGCCGACAGCGGTACTGATCAGACCGGCATACGGCCAGTGGCACTGACCGGACCGACAGACGGCCAGCAGTACTGACCGTCAAAACGGCAGTGGTGCTGGCCCACCGACAGACGACCAACGCTAACGAATACTAGTCAGGATTAGACGGGCGGTCTCCCAGGAACACACCAACAAATCGAGCCTGCCAGTCGTGTCACTGTCACCCATTGACATAACACCGTCCTCGATGATGTGCCCACATGCAAACGCACTGTTCTTTACATGCAGCATAACACTAATCCGTTCTTTGAGTGTAGTGAAATTTCGAATTTCCAGCTTTCAAGCCTACCGTTACACCAATGCCTGTTTACTGTTTTGTTTGCTGTGTGCGGTTTCGAATGACGTGTTTGTTGTTTGTGGTGTTGCTTGATAACTGTTTACCGCTAACGGCTATCCACAGTCACAGTCCGCTGACCAACGCCCACCGCTAACAGTCAGTCGCTGACATATGGCCAGAGTCTACGGACCACCGCCCACCACCCAACCGTTCAGAGATCGGCACACCGCGGCTTGTCGAACCTACCAATACCAACTGAGCTCCAGCTGTGATCCGGTAACCACCCCTGCCGCCCGTCAAAGCCCTCCACCAGCGCTGACAGGCTGAGAAAAACGGCTCCGAAAACATGGAACTCTCGACAGCCTGCGAACGACTGCCCCGGCGACAGACGGGGACTAACGACAGTCGGCGACTAAACGACAGTCGGCGACAGTTGGGTTGTCAGCTGAGCGTGACCCTCCGCGGCGCACCGCTCGCTGATTACGGACCGGCGTGGGTACGGGACGCACCAGCCGTATGTCACGCCGTTACAGACGAGCCCACGATGACAGGGGTGTCGTTAC